AAAAATGGGTAGTGCTGGTCAAAAGCGTCTCGTGCTCACACTGAAGGTGAACACTAAACTTAAAAGGTAACTAATTTTCTTGTTTTCGTTTTTACTTTATAGCTACACCAACGTTTGTTGGGAAATTCTTGAGATGTTTCAATGGTTTAAAATGGAATTCTTCACCAGTTTAGTTGTAAAGGTATTTTCTGTATCTTATTTTAAAAGTCAAGAAGCGTATGTATTTATTAAATTTGAAGATATAAAAAATGAAAATAACTCTTAAATAATCAATTGTCCACGCTAAAACAACCCTCTTAAAATCGGATTCACCCTTTTCATCCCCCTCTACAATGGAGACAAAAAAAAATAAATAAAACGACCGGAATCACAATCGCGGGCTCAATATTTTAATTGTCACCAGTAATAAATACGGTTATCAGGGCCCCACTTGAGTGCCTCCGGGGCGGTTCACACGCTCCGTTCGGGCGTTGTTGGTGGTGGTAGTGATTGTTCCAGTTCGAAAAAAAGCTAATGAGGGTTCATCAGTTAAGCGAGGGGGACGGACAGATCAGCGGCTATGGTCTTTTTTTGGTAACTGTAGAGGGCGTACGATCGCGATTGATTAATGCGCGGGTAATAGGAGGGGGTGGCGCGAAAAGGGCGGCCCTTGAAAGGGTAACTGCGCGGTAGACGAATCCGCCCTGGGAGGAAACAGTTGTCTGATTCCTTTCGGTTCCTTTATTTGAACGGCTGGAATGTTGAAGAAAATCAATGGAAAGAGGAAATCAGACGTTCTAAACATTTCATTTTTTTACAAAAAGTAATTTCTTAAAAATTGTTTAAAAAAGTTTAATCCCACATAACAGTAATCCCTAAAGAAAGCCATATCGTTATATCCATTATAAATACATATGTACAGGATCTGTCAAATGTGACACACCCTGTACATACACAAACTGTCAATTTTTTGACATTTAAAGCTGTCACCGGCGTTATTTCGGTTTTGATTGTAATTTGCTGATTTCATATTTCCAGAGAACGCATTTTTCTCGATCTTTTTCTTATACAACCATATGATTTGATATGTTCATCGCGTAGAGGGATTTATCCTCTATTAAAATGTGCAAAAAAATATATGCATCCCATTTAAAATAACAATGTTGGTTGCTATAGCAACGAAACAAAAACAATACAAACCAGCAAATATCGCCAAAAAATGCACCATGATTAATAAAGAAACTCGCATTTGAAACATTTTTCTTTAAAACCACAAATGGTGAAGTTATTGGCTATATTCCAGACATTTGACACACCCTGTATATAACTTTGAAAACAAGAAACCATGAATGGAGGGACCCCATTTAAATTTTAAATAATTTTTCTCAATTTATTCGGAGAGAGTTTTTTCAGAGATTTTATTTCGTTTTATTTTTTAAATTTGCACTTCCGGTTTTTACTAATTATACTTTAAGAACGGGAAACAGACGTTTTTCTAGTAATTATGTTTTATTTCTGTTTGTTATTATACAGGGTGAGTCAAAAAGAATGGGAAATCCGAATACCGGAGACACTAGACACCAAAATATGACGATTTAACCTACCATGTCTTATAAAAATATCGGTGGTTTTTAATACACAGGGTGTTGAAAGTTAAATTTTTATTTCGAAATTTCTTGATAATTTTGAAGGTTTTTGTACTATTTACATAAAATTTGGTAGTTAGATATTTTCGAGCATGAGAAACACGAGTTTGATATTTGTTTTGTGATTACTCGCTAGATACACACTGTACGTTTGAAATATCAAGTCATAACTATTTTGTCAGTTGAGGTATGGTGAATTAGAACCAGAAATCTGAAGGAGTTTACAATTCTGCACAAAAAAGGTACTCTTGCTTACATTGTCTAAGTCCTTTTAATTGTTTCAAAGTAATTTTAAGGTTAACATTTAAAATCAATAACATACTAACTATAGCAATTAGTAACGATAATAATAGATAATAATAACAATAGAATATTGTGACCATTTTCAAAAATCCAGTGGACTTAAATCTGGATTTTTAACTATTAAAAAACTCATTATGTCGTGGCATTTTCAAATTGGTAATAACTTTATTGTTGGTAAAAATGATTATTGCACACGGAAATTAGATCAATGTTGACAATTAATAGGCAATTGTCGAAACATAAGCAGAAAAATAACCCAACTTTACTTATGTTAAAAAATAAAAAATTTAGGAAATGAAATACATTTAAACATTTAAAAGTAAATAATTCGAAAACCGATAGACTTACAACTAGACAATTTCAATAAGAGTACCTTTTTTACGTAAAATTGAATGCTCTTTGTGATTTGCAGCTCTTATTGGTCGTAGCTATCGAGCCAAAAAACGTATGATTTGATTTATCAAACGAGCAGCGTGTATCTAGCGCCGTCTACGAGCAATAACAAAACAAGTTTCAAATTCGTATTTCTCATGCTCGAAAACATAAAACTACCAAATTTTATATTAATAGTACAAAAACCTTCAAAATTATCAAGAACTTTCGAAATAAGAATTTAACTTTCAACACCCTATGCCTCGAAAACCACTGACATTTGTATAAGAGATGTTACGTTAAATCATCATATTTTGGTGTCTAGTATCTCCGGTATTCGGATTTCCCATTCTTTTTGACTCACCCTGTATATAGGAAGTGAGAGAAGACTGACCAGAAGAGTCAGAAAAATGGTTCAATGAACTAAAAGAGAAGAACAGAATGAGATGAGATTGGTTGGTTACAACGATAAGAGTATAATGATAGTATATCCGAAACAGAAAAAGAAAAGGTTTATGATTAATAACTAATATGACTCTTGGAGTTAGCTAACAAATTACATATGAGAGCTGTGACTGTTTAGATGTGTTCATAATAAGTGACCCGACTGGTGAGGAGATGATTGAAAAAGAGATACTTGATGACTCAAGGCTGAGTGGTGCTATGAAATTGACAAAGACGCTTGAGACGGACCATATCGTTGCTGCCAAGCCAAAATGACATAAACGACATTTACTTGGTTTCTCAGGAAACACAAAAAACTAATGTTGTAGCTGATTGTAGCAATTGAAGTTCGACGGTGTAGTTAAGCAACAAGTGATTTTGGTGTTTATGCCGTTTAGGATAGCGACGATGTGTCAATGCAATTGGATCATATGTTTCAGGAATTATTATTAATATAAGGGAAGATTTTGATTCAATTAAACGGCTGGCAGTTTTGGACACCCCAAAATGTGGTGAGAATCAACCCCAAGGTATAAAGATTATTTCACCGAACCTCAAATGATGCTACTGACTGCAACTTAAAGAGAAACCCTTTAGAGAAAATGACACCATCAAGTGCTTGAAGATGATTTTGGATGAGAAGTGGAGCTTTTTTTAGTTTAAGGGTATTTAAAAGAAACGTAATGGTGGGGTTTATTATTTATTATTATTATTACTGCCGGGATGAGGGGAGCGGCCTTTTCTTCATCGCGACCTATAGGATCTATTGTCACTTAAGCCCTCCAAAGGTTTAGGGCAAATGTAGGTCCTTAGTGTTAGTGCAAAGTCTTGTTCCTTTATATGTCAGGCTTTTCAGGAAGTTTGATAGCGACCTTAGATCCCCTTTGCTGAGGCATAAAACCTCTTTGGTTTTGTTTTGCGATGGATCATACTCTTCGCCTGTCTGTGACCTGGAAGTTCTTTCCAGCGTAAGGCTACATTTGAAGCCACCCAAATATTGATTACTTATTTTAAATGGCTTTTTTGTAACGCACAACTTGGGGTCCTCTTTGGCCAGCTTGTCCACCTTTTTATAGGCTTTGTGATGTCTTTGTAACCTGGAACCCGCCGTAGAGAAAGAAATTGTGTGGTTGGGCTACATTAATTTCAAAATAATGTTTGTTCCCATATAAAGAATTATCCCTTACAAATTTGTTGAACGGTATCAATCTAGGTACTCCATATATTATCTGGTATTCACTTCTTTGCGTAGAGATGGCAGAGTGTCTTTTTGGCATTTGATGATGATCAATAAGATGGTTAGTTTGTCTTTGGATATCGGGAGTGTGTTCCGAATTTTTTTTTGAGGTACCTGGCAATTCGTTCCGTTACACCTGAAACATAGGGAAGACAGATAAATCCAAGTGTTTTGTACTTACCGCGTCCTCCCTCTGCTTTCGCTGCTTGATGTCCTTCGAAGTGTATCCGTTCTTCTGCAACACGCCTCGTAGAAAGTCAAGTTATCTCCTTCACATATTCTTGCTGCTCGCTGAAATAAAGTACGGATCACGTAATTCCATATCTCCATTTGTCGTCCTGGTGACCAACACATCTAGGAAAAGTAGTTTTTTGGCAGCTTCTGTTTCCATGGTAAACTTAATCATAGGATGTTTCAGTTCAAGTAATCCAAGAATCCTTGGAGCCATTGTTGACCATTTTGCCATATCACAAACGTGTCATTCACATATCGGAGCCATAGTTTTGGTTTCTTCAAAGCGTTTTTGTTGCTTTTGGATAAGCGTGGTTACTTTGAGATCCCAATCCGAATTCTTAGGTATTACACGTCCCAACACTACACGCATAAACATTTTTACTGGAACCCATACGATTTTGGAAACGTTCCCTTGGGTACGTTGACAGAACGTATCAGAACGTTGACTTAAAAGGTATGTGACGAATCATAATGAAACTTGGTTAAGGTATGGTTACAAAGTTATATTACAGGTTTGTTACAAGTTTGTTTTAAAACAAAGCAATACAAGTCAGGATTTAATTGAGTGTAATATATTAAGATCATAATTTTATATTATGCCACATTATCTTACCAAGAAGCGGGCATTAAGTCTTTAAAAGAATTATGATACATTTCTCATTAATATTCATGAGGTTGTTTAACATCTTTGACTTAAAAGACTTGGACACAAAACCGTTATTTTTAATCGATTTATGATATTTCATAAACGTTCATTTCAAATTAAGAAAAAATTAAAAGGAAGGATAATTTTTAATTTAATTGTTTTGTATAACATAACATTTTTAGTTTCACTGGAATATAATTGTCTCCGCAACAATTCCCAAGGGGTTTTGGTAAATATTTTCAGTTAATTAAAGAGGGGATGAAACGCACTATTTGTCGAGTACAACTGAACAATTTTCAAGGAAGCCGTCCGATTCCCAACAATGTCAACACCGAGGGGGAAAATCCACCTTTGATCACCCACCAAAAAAGTTGTAAGTAAAAAAACACTAAACCAAAATCTAAAATGTTTCTTAAAAAAGATATAAAACAAAATAACACTTTTCCTTCACCTGCTCAAAGAGAAGCGGTCAACGTACCCTCCTTATTATTAATACGCAATATTACGGCATTACCGGACTCGAGCCAAGGGCGTAACTTCGTCCGCGGGAGGGCAACGGCACGTTGCCGAAGAAGTGAGTCTCTTTCGCTTTAGCAACATCGAGAACGAGAAGAAGCTCACGATGGTTTACGTTGCGGTAGGTTATTGAGTAAGGTGGACCGATGATGCTCCGTTTTGTCCATCCAGGTGAAACCAAGATGACCTCAACAAATTTTCTTTTTTCTTCTTTAAGTTGAGTAACCACTAAAAGAAATTTAAATCGATTATTAAAACAATTTATAGTCTATAAATTAATAGTTTTGAAATTAAATAAAAATTATATAAATATAGAAATACTACTATAGAAATATTCCTCATGTTGCTCTATTCCATATTCATAGATAAAATCAAGGAGGGTTGTTCTAAAAGTAGAACTAACACTAGACCAAGAACTAGAATCATTCAGGTTTAGCCGAACGTCTCTTAAGACGGCTAAACCCGAATGTTTCTAGTTCTAGGTATAGTGTTAGTTCTAATGCTAGTGTTAGTTCTTGTTTTAGTTGTTACTCAGCGTTGGATCGTTGTATATTTTTCATTGAACTAATACTAGAACTAACACTAGACCAAGAACTAGAATCATTCGGGTTTAGCCGAACGTCTCTTAAGACGGCTAAACCCGAATGTTTCCAGTTCTAGGTATAGTGTTAGTTCTAATGCTAGTGTTAGTTCTTGTTTTAGTTGTTACTCAGCGTTAGATCGTTCTATATCCTTCATTGAACTAAAACTAGAACTAACACTAGACCAAGAACTAGAATCATTCGGGTTTAGCCGAACGTCTCTTAAGACGGCTAAACCCGAATGTTTCTTGTTCTAGGTCTAGTGCTAGTTTTAATGCTAGTGTTAGTTCTTGTTTTAGTTGTTACTCAGCGTTAGATCGTTCTATATTTTTCATTGAACTAAAACTAGAACTAACACTAGACCAAGAACTAGAATCATTCGGGGTTAGCCGAACGTCTCTTAAGACGGCTAAACCCGAATGTTTCTAGTTCTAGGTCTAGTGTTAGTTCTAATGCTAGTTCTTGTTTTAGTTGTTACTCAGCGTTAGATCGTTCTATATTCTTCATTGAACTAAAACTAGAACTAACACTAGACCAAGAACTAGAAAGTTTCGGGTTTAGCCGTGCGTCTTTAGACTAACACTAGAGCTAGAATTAGAAACATTCGGATTAACTTGTCTTATTGACATACAGCTAAACCTGAATGTTTCTAGTTCTAGGTCTAGTGTTAGTGTTAACTCTAGTTTTAGTTGTTATCAAAACTCTTAAAATATGAAAGAAATCAAAACAAACTCTTACCAACCTAACTTTACTAAATTAACGATACAATTTACATTCAAAGTCATTCTAATTAATAAATTTAATTTTTTCCTCTTGTCTTTAAATGAACTATAGTGTATAGTTAGCTTAAGAACGTTTTACAACGAAGTCTTCAGGCTGGTTAGTGTTGTTTAGGAGCCCGTATGGTCTCGGTGCACGTGCCAAATTACCGGACGGTGTTCAGTCATCGTTCGAGTCCCGATGCTTTAGTGAGATAGCTGAAACTGCACTTCAACAAAAATGTGAGCAAAAAACGAAGAAAAATTGATATGATCGAGGGTGGTTCTGGTTATTTTTTTGGTTTTTTTTAGTTCTCGGCTACTCACTATATTCTTCGAAGTTAATTGATTCAATCTATCTCGATTGGCGATTTATTGCCAAGTAATTTTCAGTTGAAATAAAAATAAAATGATTAAAAAAAAGGTGATACTTAAAGTCTAAGAATGCGATTCGATTTAATGAAGTCTTCAGAAATATTTATTTAATCCTCTTACAGATACCAACGCTTCATTGCAAAATTGAAAAGGGTTAAACCGTGTCTTACTAATCCCTTAACCCGTTGATAAAACATGAACTGTCTATTTTGCAGTGCACCCGCTACGTTGATATCTTCATTACAAAATTCTTTCTCAGTTTATCATAAAATAACTAATTAATAATAAAAAAAAGGGAAATGGTTTTATTTTCGAAACAGGTTGCATTTTTAAGTTTTTTAGTTTCACGTAATACACATAGTAAGGATATTTATAACAAAAAATAAAAGTCAAGAGTTAAAGAAGAAGAAGAAGAAGAAGCAGGTGGTTCTTGGTGTGGTAGGTTCTTCCTCCCTGTATCTTCAGTAATACGATCTTAAATACCCCGTTAAGCATGACATGGGTTGACGAGACGGTTTATTTTCTTCATAAATTTTTTTATTTTTCGTATCATTTTTTTTTCTTTTTCTTGCGCTCATTACCAGACACATTTATTTTGTCGCTTTTGCGTGGCTCAAAGTGCGAAACTGGTCCAATCGATGTAATTACAATAACGCCGGCTACTCGACTTACGTTAAACGTAGTTACAAGAAGCGGAACGGAAGTCTTTAAAAAACTCAATCAAGATTAACACAAAAAAAGTTAGTTTTAATTAAAACCTTTTCTAAAATTAACTTTACTCCGAATAATTTTTTTTTAATACTTTGTACTGTTATAATGATAATTTCTATTCACGATAACAAAGGTATACGTTATATTATTATAAAACGTAACGTTACTCGTAGTAGTAGTAGGTGGGTACCAGCATGTACTATATCGTGAATAGTGTAGGTGGAATTGTAAATAAAACAGCTTTCAACCCGGGTTCGTTCCCGTTAATCGAAAGCTTCACGGCGAGCTTTCTCGCCGCTTTTATTGGGATTGCGTCCCAACGGTCGCTTTGCGTATACGTTAATTGCACGCGATCGCACAGAATTAGTATGCTTAAATTGATACCGACAGCACCGGGTTGTTATAATTATAAACGACGCCAGCAGTCATTTTAAAATATTTTGAACAGACAACTCGGGCGCCTGCTATTAAATACGCACTTTGAGTAAGGAAAAGAACAAACAGGGGCGATGATTAAATTAATATGGATCATTTAAAGATAACTAGACTACTATTAGTTTTTCAATTTATCTTCGATAATTACAAGGTATTGAACGTTTTAATGATGATGTAGTTGGTGATTGACATTGATTTTTTTATTATGGGAAAATAGTATTTTTATAAAGTTCAAGTTTTCTTATTTGAAATTCAATGATTTATATTGTTCAGGAATTTCAATCTAGAATTTCAGTAAAATCAATAAATCATCCTTGTTCTTTTGTAATGATTAGTTCCAACACTTGGTCTTTAACCCTTAAGTAGGTCAACCTCGAAAGTTGCAGAACTCATTTTGGATACATTAAGAAAAAATGTTTTTAAAAATTATTTTCTCTGATTCTATCTTGATCACACGAACTAAAACTGTGGTTGGATACAAAAAATAATGTTCTAGAAGATTAAAGACAACTATTCAGCATGAGAGCCATTTTTATGTTTGTCCTCTGCATGCATCGTTATAGTATAGAAAAACATTTTGTTGACAAGGAATATGATTGGAAGAAACCACCAAAACAATCCAAAAAGATTTACCATAAAGACTTTGGAGTGCTGGCTTGAACCATCAAACCTCAATTTACTTATGTCCGAGATATCTCACAGTTTTCCACATTTTCCAACTCCTTTAGTAACTTATTTCCAATGTTGGCTTTGATTTAATGGATCATTTATCCCACAATAAGGGAAATAGTAAAATATTGTATTTATCTTATACAGTGTGTCCACATTTCGATGCTCACCATTAGTATCGGCTATTATAAGAGATAGAGCAACGGTTATATGGTTCATAATCACTTTTTCATTTTTGAGATATTTTGAAAAAACTTGAAAATCCAATATGGCCACCATAAAAAAAACAAAAGACAGCGCTAATAACTTGGAAACAAATGAATATCAATAGTGTCTGTAATAAAAGTGTCTTAACAATGTAAAGCAGTTGCATTACGCGTTATCGACTTATTAGTAAACATTAAAATCAGCAAATTTCAGTTTTTTCAAAATTTCTCAAAAATGAAAAAGTGAGGATGAATTTGAAATATGATTTGTTTCGAGCATTGAATTCTGCGAAACATTCCCCATTTAACCGTTGCTCTATCTCTTATAATAGCCGATATACCAATGGTGAGCATCAAAATCTGGACACACTGTATGTTAATAATAGAACTAAAATAATATATCATCATGCAACTAACCAATAAATTGGAAAGAACTATCAACTTCAACAGCAAGCTCGGGTTGGGTTGTCTTTTACGTCTATTACTTTCTTTGTGACTAAACCTCTTCTATTTTTCCTCCTACGCTTGCAAACTTCAGATCTTCGTTTTCTTTCAAGCTTTTCTACAAGTTGGACTTTCTCTGTTCTAGCACTTTCTTCTCCATTGCTTCTAGCGTTTCTGCTTTCCTCACCTAGTATGGATTATTCATTGTTGAATCTAGAATTTTATTTGTAACGATTCCAATTTATTCATTTTCCACAAGAAAGCTTTCAAGATTTCTATTTCACATATTAATTGCGGCGTTATAATTGCTTATTTATTGTTCATTTCATAATGTTTAGTTTCTAGATAGGCTTGTTTTCAGATGTTCAGTTTTCCGTTAATTGTAGTCTTCATCTGTATCCATACCGAGTTATTCAAGGAGCATTTCTTCGTCTGCAATACCAGTTCAGAGTGAGAAGCACTGCTTCTGTTCTGGCTCGTACCGCCGTGAAACTTCCCTTCAGAACGGCCACTACCCCCATATCATCTGCAAATTGAATGACTTTCTGTAATCATGAATAAAGGTATTATATAGCGGAAGGGAAAAAGAAGATCCTTACTGCAGACCTTCTATCATTCTTCTTGCGCTGAACAGTTTATCATCCATTTTCACTCTAACCAGGCTTGCTTCCAGATTGACATCATTTTTGCCATCCCATTGACATCATCTCAAGAAGAGCATAAGGGTCATAGAGATTAGTGAAACATCGTTTATTAATTTCATTCCTTCAAAACGTTTGCAAATTGATTATTTCTGAAAGAAATTTTGTGTTGACGCGCTTACCTCTTCATTTCTAAATAAGTAACATTGTCCAATAACTTTTCCTTTCATCAGATTTTGTTGCATAACATTTTTTGGGTTGATTTGCACCTCATATGTATTGAAACAAATACATGATCTAAGAAGGTACCGTCTCAGATTGCACTTGTTCATCGAATTTCACAATAGACTTGAGACATGTCATATTAAAAATCATTCAGATTAAGCTGGTACAACTTGATGTCAAATTTCTGGTTCTTATTGCTTAAAAAAAGATTTAAATTTTACCTTGCATTCGAGGAATATTAACGATTTAGTAGTGGAACAATTTAAAACTGAAAAGATTCTGTCCTAATATCTGCTTCGTTATGGGTAAAATATCAAGTTTTCAGAAACATTTTAAACCTGTAAGGTTTTTTCCACTGCCAAATCATTATCCTTTTGAAACTCTCTTAACGATTTGTTTCTGTGAAATAATTCAAAAATTTTATCTCTTATAACCATGCTGAAAGAATTTCTTGAGACTTGTCATAAGGATCAAAAAATCTGCATTGATGCTAGAACGATTTTATATGAAATTAAGTTGTTACTAACAGGATTTTACATAACAATAATTATTTGATCAATTTCTCCATTCCACTTACTTATTACATTTGCAGAAAGTTGTACAATTTGTGAGGTTCTTTGTGAAGAGAACCATATCCTCATTATGTTTTTCTAATTTTTGTTTGCACCTCTGCTTGTTTTTTGACATTGAGAAGCAGAAGAAGATGACGATGAAAACTCCAATTTTGATTCATCTGGCGAAAAGGAAAAAAGCTCATTTGATAGCAAGCATTCAATTTCAAAGTATTTGTAAGTTTGTATATTTTTTGTCATGAAACATTTTTGATTCTGCATACTACACGCAGCAAATGAGACTGAGGATTGATACAGTTTCGTAGCATAACCTAGAGCAAAGCGTGTTTTTCAGCATCAAATTCAATATTTGATGAATTTAACTGGATAACTCATCGATTTTAGATTAAAAGCATCATAGGGGTCACTTCCTATCAGTCACACGGTGGCATAATACCTAAAGTATTAAACCAAAAGCAATTACCTTTGCCTCTCTTGATGTATATTTTTACTCCAGTCTTCTATAACACATAACTAATGTCGTTCATTCTGATGTCTGCCATTAAAATATGTTATGTCTCAGCAAATTCATTAAATCACATTCAAGCTGCTGATTTTCGATGCTAATCTTCTTATGGTAAGGTTGCTCGTCTTTATGATCCTCAAGATTCCATCCATTTTTCTGACTAGTACTAAAGTAGTACGCAGATTACTTAAAGTACCAATAATATTGTAAAAGTTTTCAATAATCATCCCCTATTAATTTTCTGATCACGTTTTATTTTACATCATAAATCCAGACAAACCAGTAGTTATATCGTTAGTGCAGAAAATATTCAATAGATAGAAGCACATACTGACAGATTGTGGTTAAGATACTTTTATCACAATAATTATGGCAGAATAATGTACCAACTCAAATTTCAAATATAATTGACATCAAGATTCAAAGTACTTAAGGTGCTTGGATACGCCGTTATGGTTTCAAAGAAACAAAAATTCCATTAAAATAAGAAGACATTTGGTGACTTTAGGGGACAAAAATGATGAGAATGTAGTGATGATGACGAAATAGAAGGAGGAATGTTGAATTACAAAATCTCCAATACAAACTTTTTCATTAAAGAAAACAAGTTCTGCAATAATTTTCCAAGAGCAACATCAACTTATTTAACCCAAAAATCTTAATTAGCTTAATTATTTATACAACAGATCCTATTGGTCGTGGTATAAAAATCAATTTTATTGTGCAAATTTTCTTGACTCAACTTCAAAACACCTTTTTTACTTTTTTTTAAGTTTGTCAAAAAAAAATTCTTATGTAATCAAAACCCATTGATTTCAATTCATCAAAAAAAAAGCTCTTTTGCGCAAGTTCCCAACGCAATTTCACGTTGAATCTAACCCAATCATCGAGCTTTCAGGTATCAGGTGTTAGATAACTGAAACCATTGGGCGTCTACGTCCCGGATTCTAATTCAGCATTGGTCGCTTGGGCTTAGAAGGACTTGGTGGGAGACTAATCGCGGGGCGGAGTTGGAAAAGCGCTCCGGGGTTGTGCTCCGGTCGAAAATCGTTGATTTCAGTGCGCATCAAGTTCTTCTAACGTCAGGGTGCGCTAGAAGCTCGCCTATACCTAGAAACATACCATACAATATTACGATTTCGCGCGTTATTTTTTTTCTTATTTATAAATCGTGGTGGTTCAATAAAAAAAAAAAAAATTAGTTTTGTGTAAAAATTAAAATTGTTGGTAGATTTAATGCTTTTTATTTGAGTTCGAGGAAGAGGAAACGGTCCAGGATCTTCCTTTTAAACATTTTGGATTTGAAGATATGGTGATTCTGTAAGTCTTTTTTTATTTTTAAGTTAATTTATACGGAAAATTAAATCGCCGCGTATAACAAATAATAAAAAAAGTAGTAAAAGATAAGAAATGTAACATTAGTGTTTAAAAGTTGTCCATTAGCGTGCACATCCTGGTGACTCGAACCGATAAGCGAAGTTTTATTTCGCTAGGAAACAACAAAATCCACTTAACACATAATATTTTATGCGATATAGGAAAAATTAATGTTTCTAGAAAAGAAAAACATCACATCTCTTCGTTTGTACCTCTTAATTCAACCACTATCAATTTTCATGTCAGCCTATAACATCCACTATAATAAAACCATCATCCAGTTTATCAAGCCTGGATGGTTAATACATGTAAAATTACAGAGCTTGTTCGAGAGGATTCACACATGTTATGACTAAATTAACTTAAATATTTACTTGTTAATTTAGAAATTATTAAAACTTAAATTAGATCGAATCGTTTGATAAGACGACGAACCCGAATTATTATTATCGATCAAGCGACGAACCCTCTCGATTATAGTTTTCGATGCTACACAATATCTAAATCGAACTGTTCCGAAAGGCCTACGCATAACGAGAGGCGGTAATTAAATTTCCCCTTGAAGGGAGAAGCGGTAAGAATAAGGTATTCTCGGTTATAATGTAATCGACCGGTTATCTACGGTACCGTGGAAAGATGTGTGTTTATCTGGCGGCGTATCGAACGGTCCCAGGCATTAATATCGATGTAGATAATTGCCGGGTTTGTTGACAATTGTATAAATAGCTTAGGATTTAGTGCGATGGGCGGAAAACACGATTCGTTAGGTATTGAAGGCGGATACAGAAAGCGAATGAATACCACGTTTCGTTTTCCTTTTTGATTTCGATTCTAATTATTATAATCGATAAGATTTCCGCATCTTTTCTTTTAAATTCCATCTAAAAAATTACCTATTACATTTTTATTTTGAATTTGACAATACGTTTTGTAAATATTTATGAAGTTAGCAAGTTATACATGTCAAAATGACGTTAAACAAAAAATCACTAGAAATTACGTTGAAATAGTTATTTAACCAACAAGTGTATTAACGAAGGCGATTAATTATTGAGATAATTAATAAAATTGAGATAATTAAAATAGAGAAAATCCATCGTTGAAAAATCACCCAATTCTATCACTGACAAACTTTGAGAAAGTCCGACCGAACTAATATAGTAGTCAATTTAGTAAATATTCTCGAATGAAATCTGTAATACCGACCCAACCGACCACTAAATCTATTCGGTAAGACTACAATAATAAGTTTGACTTTTGACACATTAAAAGTGAGGTTAAATAAGTGATTTTTATATTAAAATCGTTTATTAATAGGTGTCATTAATGAATGATTTTGTATACATTTATAAATCATATAAATACACGGTCAAAGTAAAAGAATAAAGTCATAAACGAAGTCATAAACTGGTTGAGATATGTACTAAATTTGACATAAAGTAACAAATATTCATGACTTTGGAAATGTTACGGAATTTATGATGAAAAGAACACAATTAATAGCTTTAATCCAGTTTGTTAATTGGAACTACACTAAACGCGCTTGTATGATATTGTGTGAAGTACCAAGTAAAGTAAATACAGGGTGTATATAAATTACTGTACACCACGTGATCATCACGTATAGGCCACCAACATTACATGAGTTGAACTCATCGCAACGAAAATCCCTAAAAATTAATAATTAATATTTAATCAGAAAATTATATTTTGTGTTTATTTTGAGGAGAAATTCTGTTAACTTCCATAGAATAGAGAAATGAAAAGAAAAAATTAAAAAATTATAGAATATCACTATTTTTATTACAAGAAGAACACCATCTATCATTAATAGCGAGAAATGATTGACGGAAAGTTTATTTTGGGAGAGGTAACGTTTACAAAATGGGCTTATTAAGCCTACGGTCGATTTGGAGGGTCGTGAATGAGCGAATCGTGCTCGGTTCGTTTAACGGGGGGCGTAAAATGTTTCAAGAAAAAGACTACACCTTCGTCATAACAATCATTATACGCCATTACGAGTGTATTTTTTCAATTTTACTCCTATTTTTTCTCTCTATAGATGGCCCATCAACATTTCAAAATAACCACAAGATCTTATTACGTGCTAAAGTTGGTTACAAAATTTAAAATGATCGCTACTGTCACTACATGTTAAGATAGACAACCAGTAGTACATTTGTATCTTGGTTCCAGAATATGTAGTTCGCTATAGTGGCAAAAATATATTCTTCTTTGCAAATATAACTTTGGTGTGCAAATAATCATTATATACCAAGGCTATGAAATTTATTACTGATGTGGGGAGATAATCGCCTGAAGGCTAAGCGCTGAAATCAAGGCCGTTATTGTTAAAATGATGATGAAATGTAGACATTTTGGGTAACTGGTACAATCTATCTATAAAATTGCATGAATACACAAATTAGGTCTGTGTATTAAAATTGCTACAAATTATTTATGGCTTCAACTTCTCTGTAACTATTAGCGCCATCTGTCAAAGTGTATTACCATTAAACAACTAGTTTTGTGTATACGATCGAAAAATTTTAGTTTAATTGAAAATAATTTGCAACTCTTAACAAGTTCCGTGATCTCCACCATTATTTATCTGGTACCTTCTCGTTGTTTATATAGGTATTCAAGATAAGGAATTAGGATAGAGTTACATGTTTCTGTTGAGTTGTTGATGTCTAGTTAGTCTCTAGCATCTTTGCAATAACAGAATCTATCTAATTCTCTATCTAGTAACTTTATACGTATATAAAAACGAATCTGTTGAAAAAAAAAAGCTCCCAACCCAAATCAAGTCACATAATTCCACAGTCCATTCTAGCTTCCTGTGCAGTTATAATCAGTTTGACACTTATCAACGTAACAAATCGAAAATAGATATGTATTCGAGATAAAGTAACATGTTTCCATTGAGTCGCTAACATCTAGTCAGTTTCTAGCAGTTTGGAAATAATAGACTTTACCTAACAACTTTGTACTTATATGAAAAATAACGAATCCCATTTCCCTGTGCAGTTATACTCGTTTGACACTTATCAATGTGGCAGAAAGGAAATAAAGATATTCTTGATAAGAATATAATAGAGTAACATGTTCTGTTGAGTTACTGACATCTAATTAGTCTCTAGCATCTTTGCAATAACAGAATCTACCTAATTCTGTATCTAGCAACATTGTACTTATATAAAAACGAATCTGTACAGCAAGAAAAGCTGCCAACCCAAGTCAGGTCATTTAATTATACAGTCCATTCCAGCTCCATGTGCAATTATAATCAATTGACACTTATCAAGTTAGCAGATCGGTAATAGATAGGCAGATAGGTACCTAGATAGGTACTCTAGATAAAGAAGTACAATAAGGTAACATGTTTCTGTTGAGTTGATGCCATATAGTCAGTCTCTAGCAATTTTGCAATAAGAGACTCTACCTAATTCTCTATCTAGCAACTTTGTAACGAATCTGTACAGAAAAGAAAGCTGCCAACCCAAGTCGGGTCACATAATTCTCTCTGTGCAGTTATAATCGGTTGACACTTATCAATGTGGCATATAGACAAATAGGTATTCTAGATAAAGAACTGTAATAAAGTATCATGTTTCTGTTGAGTTGCTGACATCTAGTCAGTTTTGCAATAATAGGCTCTTCTTAATTCTCTATCTAGAAACTTTGTACTTACATAAGAATGAATCCGAATCTTATCAACGTTGCAGAACCATCTCCTAAACTACTTTTCTGATTCTTCTATAAGCTTCTTAGACTCTAGAAAGGAAAGTCTATTAATTACATAGCTTACAATATTTTTCTTTTCTATAAATAATAAGTTAAGTCTAACAAACTTTAATTAAAAATTTATTATATAATTAAAAAATTTTTTTTGTTTTAACTTTTAATATTTTGATTTACAGGCACACTTCAACTCCTCCTGGCATGAATTGCCGGGTACCATACGCCAGTGGTCAAGATTGGGACATAAACGATAGTACAATACCAAAAATAAACGATTACGATTCTTTCTCCGAATGGGCGGACGGTCATTGCCGTTTGGTTTATCGAGCAGACTCTGAAGATGCTAAAAGACACGCTTCCGGTTGGGCGATGCGAAACACAAACAACCACAACGTGCACATATTAAAAAAGAGTTGCTTGGGTGTACTCGTGTGTTCATCGAGATGTACTTTGCCCAGCGGAGAAAGAGTGCATCTTCGCCCAGCGATTTGTGACAAAGCCCGGAAGAAACAGCAAGGAAAGCCGTGTCCGAATCGACAATGTTCGGGGAGATTAGAGATATTACCGTGTAGAGGGCACTGTGGTTATCCAGTGACTCATTTTTGGAGGCATACGGATCATGCGATTTTTTTTCAAGCGAAAGGAGTTCATGATCACCCGCGACCGGAAGCTAAGAGTACTTCCGAGGCGAGACGGAGTCTTGGTAGCGGAAGGCGAGTTCGTGGACTCGCGGTTTTGCTGGCGCGCGAATCTAGTCTTAATAGTAAGGTGAGTTATTGCTAATTGTCGCATATCGGCTTGGTTGCCCACGTTTGAAACCGTATTGATCCTTCGGGGCACAATTCGATTTTATCGTTTACTAACTAGAGATGCTATCAACTCGAGCCGCATATAAATCTACTATGTTAATGGGCGCCATTTATATTTTAACCAAGAGAGATTATTAATTACCACTTTCGACGGCTTCACTGTGTTTCTCTATCCACCCCATGACAAGCGGTTATTATCCTTACTCGATGTTCTATTAATCAAATTTTCATTTTAAATTACAAGGTTTCTTGGTTGATCTTTAAAATGACGCAAAATAACTTTCATTTCTTAAAATTAAATAATTTTTTTTATTTCCAGTTAATGCCAATGAGAGAACCAAAAAGACAATGCAGAGATATGATCCAAAGTCCGAGAATATTAAATCCACCACCATTAATAAACGATCAAGAAAAACAATATTGTTCCTGTCCACCTTTTGAATGTATTTGTGTACAAAACATTCAAACCAATCTTCAATACAATAGTCATTCACCAACGTCTTCGTATCAACCACCACAAAACCTCGACAATTTTTGGTCCCCAATCGATCAAGTTCAATACACCTCCAATTTAAACGATCAACAACAAAATCTTAGTCACCAATACGATTTTTCAACAATTAACGCCGATTTATTTCAACCTGAAGAAATATTTCAATTGGATCAACCGTTAAAACCGGATTTTACACAACAAGATACAGCGAGAAGTCCACCAACTCTCCTCGATTTAGGAAGTGGGACAATTCATCGAGAATACAAGACTGAAGATTACTGGCATCAACAGAATGTAAATAACGTTACGAACGATGATAGTAACAATAGCACGAATAGTAGGTTTTATTTTAATTCTTCACCGGATAACTCTCAAATGTCTTTAAATCAAACTGAAATTAATTTTGGAGCTAAACTTGAAGATATTTACGCGAACACCCCGAAATACGAATACTTTAATCAACAACAACAAGAGAATGAATACAAACATCAACAATTCCTTGAAGTAAACGACCCGAAAATATTCTTCGGCGACGATCCTGTCTCCACAAATACTTACGAGAAAAGTTTTCGAAATCACCACGATAACAGATTGAATGAAAAATTTGAAATGACCCCGCAATACGTTGATTACACCACTTTACTTGGAAATTGTGACACCAAAATCACTTCGAACGAATTGATTTTCAGTGATATCGATTTTAAATTAAACAGTTCCTTAACAGGCCCACATTACACTAACGATTCATTTGAAAGTATAGTAACGCACCAATAAAGAAATATTAATATGAATTAGAACTTAAATATTAAATAAATCGCGTGCCTTTTTGTATAGTATTTTTTGCTTTCTGATGATCCTCATTGTTTGAAATTGTTGTGTTTTATTTTAGCGAATTTTTCTTATGCGTTCACTTCATTATCAATTAGCTTTAAATTCGTTTTTTTTTGTATATAGATATCTGAACATGTGTATATAGAGTTTATGAATAAATTGTGATATTTCTAGTATATTTTTCTAATTCAATTTTATTACGACACCTATTATTTAAATGATGTACTAATAAGTTTAAGAAAACTCCGATAGATGGGGATATTATATTGTAAAAATTATAAAAAGTTGTCCTTGATGAACCTTAGTATTAAGTAAGTGTCAAGCGAACTTTACCAAAAATGTTGTGTCTCTGGCGACGCATTCACACAGTATATGTTCAGCCATTTCTGGCTCGTCGTTGCAAATTCGACAATTTAATCCTCAGCATGTCCAATGTGGAAAAGGTGGCATTTTAGAGACATCAGGAAGCCTGAGAGCGACCTTAGATCCCCTTTGCTGAGGCATAAAATCTCTTTGGTTTTGCTTTGCAACGAAGTTATCATACTCTTCGCCTATCTGTGACCTGGAAGTATAAAGGTGTCTTCTTTGCCCCTTTGGCCATCTTGTTCGCAACTTCGTTGCCTTCAATGGCTTGTGGCCTGGAACTCACCATAGAGTGACATTACTGCTCCCAGCAAGTTCTCTCAGGATGCCTAAATTGCCTTTAGGGTGGCCTGACTGTCCTTGAAAACACTTATTGATGCACTTTCTGTTCCTTTTCCCTCCTTATGTGAACTTCAAAGACTTTGAGAAGGACTCCTAGGCCTTGTGAAGGACTAGGAGCAGAAATACCTTGGCTTTGACCTTTGGCTTAGATATTGTATTTATAACTTGTGATTTTGCTGCAACCACTTTTCTTGTGATTTAAGATTTCCTTTTCTTCGAAGCTTCCTCCGCATATTCTTCATAGTCATCGTTTGAGAAACTAGGGGAATAATTAACGGATGTTGCATCACTTTGTAAAGGGTCTTCATCTTCATCCGACATAAATTTATCCCAAAGCGCTTGTAATTTTTTTTCGTTCCTCTTCGTAACTCATGTTTACTCAGCATTCACAAAACGTAGAAGTAGAGATAACCTCTTTTCAAAGACTTGAAGAGCAAGAGCAAGTGAGATTATAGAAACAATATAACTTACCTGTAGTGAAGTGGCACCAATGTTGTACCCAAGGTCCATTGAGTATTGGTTATAACGTTACTAAAGAAAACGACTTTTAGCTCTTGCCAAAAACTATATTCGACTGCCTTACACAAAATACAGCGAACAACTGACTCACTGCAGGTAAATTTTATCGTAAGTAAACCAGAGAGTTATACAAAAAGTAATTCTTAGTCACTCCCGAACAAAGAGCACCTCCGACCGTCCTGGGTAAATTCCGACGATAACATGTATGGAATATAATATATATCTTGGTAAGTATCAACTTTATAAAAAAACAATTGTATCCTTTCGTTAGAATCATTTGATACAGATTTGTTTTCTCTTTACGATGACGTAAAATTTTACTAATCTTATATCAGAAAATTTTGGAAAAAAATTTAAAAATTGTTAAAAAAATTTAACTAATAACATGAACTAAGTAGTTCTAGTTTTAGTGCAATAAAAATATACAACATAGTGGCATCTAGCAACATCATTTACATCATGTTTGGACTCATTTTAATGTTTTTTTTTTAATAAAGACTACATCATGAAGTTGTTCATTTGATTATTATATGATAACCAACTTCAGATTTAAAATGTCAACCTGAATTTTGAGATATTTATAATATTCATTAAAAATCCTTTAAAATGAGTACAAACACGACATATTTATCTTCAATAGTAATGAAGTTATGGTCAACTTCCGGTTAGAAATGTCAAGGTCAATTTTGACATATTTGTAATTGTCTAATTGTAAGACGCCCGGTTAAACCTGAAACTTTCTAGTTCTAGGTCTAGTGTTAGTTTTAAATGTTATTTAACCCTAAATTCTTGTACATTTTAATTTATCTAAACAATTTTTTTTAATTTAATCCACTTACCTTGCTTATAATTTCATCCATTTACCCATTTTGAATTAAATACAACCTTTTAATCCAATTAATTATATGTTTTTCATTAAAAAAACTTAAATTCAACATCAATTTTGACAAGCCACTGCAATATTTGGATCTTAATCACCATGGTAACCGAGTCATGTTGGATAACCTTAAAATATTAAAATTTTATTCCGATTTTTTTATCAATTCTAACCTAATTTTTATTAATATTTTAAACAATTTGAATTCTTTACAATTAGAGTTTTTTTAATTTAATTTTATGTTTTTTATATTTTTATATATTTGGGTTGTACCTACATTGGTGCCACCTGTTTTTGCAAAAAGAAAACAATAACAAATCAGGTAGGGTAAATTTTATATGTTAATATTTCATTTATATCAGGAATTTGAATCTATAACCAGTAATGAGTAACCAAGTTAATAAAAAAAACAGTAAATAATAATATTTCGATAATAAATTTTAAATTTAATAGCTTTTAAGTAGCGCCATCTTTTGACAGATTTTTTTCATCACCCGCAGATTTTTTTATTATTTCAGTATACTTAATAAACTATAACTAAACTAAACACGACATAGAATTTTTGCCAATAAAGCAAATTAAGTTTACACTTTCATGAAAATCAATAAAAATTTAAATCAATTTTAGTGTCATACACTATATAGTTAAGCTAATATCCCATAGATGGCAGTATCATTATACAACCTAAAATTAAACAATTTGACCCACAATTTCCAAAAATTTAAACAACTTTCACAATTTAATTATTCATAATTTTGTTAGAAATATTTATGGGTGTGACATTCCTAAAAAGTTTTCAGTGATAATCTTAAGTTGAAAGCACGTGATTGATAATAATTGATGGCAATTGATGCATTGAGGTAAATAAAAGTAATAAAAGATAACGTAATTCGAAGGTTATGATGTATTTTTTTTTCTAAATTAGTTTTTCAACAATGTTATCGAAAGATATGAAAAGTTTATTTTTAAAAGTGGGGGCCAATCTCAATTTTTTATGATCTTGCGTCGTTTCGATTAAAAAAAAAATAACATTATCGCATTTGCAAGATAAGATCTCGCTGCAACGTGGTTTCGAAATATCGCCACAAAAATAAACCACAAATTTAGACTTCGCAACAGCTCTAAAAAACATTGTGATCTTGAATCTAACAATAGACTCTAACCTTGTCCTCAACTAATGAACTTAGGTCATTAAAAAAAAAACATTAATTTTAAAATTAAACAGTTTCCTTTGTTAGAATCAACTTGTTGCATATTTAATTTAATGCATAAAGTGTACAAAGGCCAAATTTTAATTTTAAAAATTTTTACATAACTGTTTATCTATAACGATCCCCACTCATTTGAAATTTTATGTGGAGTCTCTCCAGCGACGCCGCTGTCTCCTTCTCCTCCACCTGTTTTTTATTAGCGTAGGGTTGGAGACTTTGAGACATAAATGTTCGCGGTGTGAACGGGAGAACGTAACATAACCTCAGTTAAGTCTCCTTGACATATAACAACACGGTAGCCCTTCAAATCAATTTATACACAACATTTCGATCGCTTGATTCTAGTGCAACAAAAAGTCTATTTAAACGTCATTACAAAATCTGAGAAAACATGAGAAACAATATTATTAATTACACAAAAAACTTCTATAACAAATCATTTAGAAGGGCTACGCACGTTATTTTCGATATGGATGGACTTATATTGGGTGAGAAAAATAACATTTTTTTTGATTTTTTTTTTGACAGATTTATGTCAATATGATTTGCGCGCCTTCTAACGGCTTTATGGATTAATTAATACAAATTTGGCGCCTAATTTAAATTTAATTCTTTTAAGATACTGAATGCATTTATACGAAGGTTATTAGCGATATTGCTCAAAAATTTGGAAAACAATACACCAAAAATGTTCGGATTAAATTACTTGGAACCGTTGAAGCCGATAGTAGTAAAATAGCCGTTCAAGAGATGCAATTACCCATTACATGGGAAGAGTTTCGAGAAGAATTTTCATTAAAATCAAGTATTCAATTGAGGAAATGTCCACTTATGCCCGGTAAGAAAACAAATTCTTAATATAATTTAAATGTTTTGAGTAAATCAAAAAAATATATAATATATAATTTATAAATAAAGTAAAATCTCGATGTAATTAATTAATACGGGGAAAGGAATGTCCATTATAACCAAGTTCGTTATATAAAAGAAATTTAATTTGCACTTTAAACCGTTTGAATGAATTAACATGAATAACAACAATCTAGCGCTGAATAACAACTAAAAATATAACTAACACTAGACCTAGAAACATTCGGGTTTAGCCGTCTTAAGAGACATAGGGCTAAACCCGAATGTTTCTAGGTCTAGTGTTAGTTCTAATGCTAGTGTTAGTTCTTGTTTTAGTTGGGATTCAGCGCCTAGAACTAGAAACATTTGGATTTAGCTGCACGTTTCTCAAGACGGCTAAACCCGAATGATTTTAGTTCTAGGTCTTGTGTTAGTTTTAGTGATAGTGTTAGTGTAAAACTAGAACTAACACTAGACCGAAAACTACAAACATTCGGGTTTAGTCGTCTCCGTTATAGACGAAAAACGTCATCGTGTTTTTCGCCTATAACCTGCACCAGCTGACCACGATAATCAGAAATGTGCAATTCCATAGTTGAACATACAAGTTTAGATAAACAATAATTTGAAAATACATTGTTAATGCATCGACGTGACCCAATTGTGATCCTAATCGGCAAGGAAAATAAATGCTTCATTCCAAAGCCATTCATCAATTCTAGCAGTTCTCTTTTCTGAGAATTATCGTCAATAAAATTGATATTGAAATCTCCAGATACGAACAATAAGTGATTAGGAAAGTTATTATCGAGGAAAAGCATAGCTTTAGCTAGTTTGTCAAGAAATATTTTAAGATCACCGTCATAGCAAGCCATTACTATTGTTTTCTTATTTATGAGTTCTACCGTAACCATCTCTACGTGTAATTCAACATTCAAGACTTTAATTTGTTGTATTTCTCTAGATATTATATTTTTGGCCGCAAGCACACCAACTCCTCCATGTATTTTGTCCTTACGACAATAAATCGCACCCTATACATGATTTGTAGTCCTGAGAACCTGATCTTCTCGCCACCAATGTTCAGTTACACATGTGACGTCAACATTGTGTTCGTTTAGTATTGATTCAAGCAAATCAATTTTCCTATTTAGCGACTGCGTTTATGTTCAAAGCGGCCCTTTAACCACCACATCTTTAGGCCAAAAACTATCATGATTTATTTTTTCCAATAGGTCAAAATCAAAACCAACCTTATAAGACTTTGTAAGGCTTTTATTGTTATTATTTTTTTGAATTTCTTCTACGATGAAAACATTGTGACTTATTTTTGAATTTAAATATTTGGTTACGTTTTCAACAGTGGTATTTCCATTCAACTTACCAACAAAAAACCAGACCTTTTTTTCCGCAGCTTTCAAAATTGAATTTTCATTAGTCTCAGCTTTTCCGGCAATCTGACTTTTCTGGTTATCTCTTCGATTTTTGTTGCGATTTTTATTAATATTTTTCGCTGGTTTGTTAGATTCTACTTCATTCGCAACGTTCAAAGTTTGTTTTTTTGGAACTGGGTTTACGATCTTATCTTTATTTAGTGTTGATGTTGTTTTCGTTTGAAACTGCTTGTTTACCTATTCGGACGAACGCTTCACAAATCCCAGCATCTTATTAGCTTTAGCCACAACTTCAGCAACGTGTTGATCACAAAGTAATTTATTATCTAAAATGATTCCTAAGTCTTTAATAGAGTCGACGCGATGCAGAAGATGGTAATGCAATCCGAGAGATTACTAATTGGAGAAAACATTTTAAGGTCGTCAGCATACATGAAATTACTGGAGTAAGTGGTAGAGTAGAGTGGTATAGCACCGTGGTAAAGTCACTCTACCAGTTGCCGTCCCCCACCACAGCTTTCCATTCTACTCTACCGCCACTACCCTAATAAAAACAGCGTTGAGCTAGTCCAACATAGAAAACTTTGTGTCGTTGAAGTATTTAGCTTGTTTGTGTAAATATGGAGTGGTCTGAGACAAAAACTATTAAATTAGTAGAATTGTGCATGTATTATAAAAATGAAAGCAAACGAACATCTGCGTACGAAGCAATAGTAGCTGAAATGGGCAAAAATCACTTTGGAGTTGCTGAATTAAAACAAAAAAACCTTAGATGTACATATAACTATGAACGTTTAAAGGTCAAGATATCAAATAAATCTGGAGCTGGCGTTAAAGATGTATGTGTATCTACGCTAAAATGGTTTTAATCATCTCATTTTTCTACGTCATCTTTAGCACAGTTCTGTAATTATTGCTAGTAGCTAAGAAAATCAGTGCCATTTCTAATTTTATTTGTGGTGTTAAAGCATCTTGCAACATTGTATCGCATTACTTAATTTTTGGGGCTACCATCTTTAACAGTGTCTCAAAATGTTCTGGTGTCATTCGCAGACACAATCTGTACTCTTCTATATCTTCTAAAGCAAGTTGCATTAAGAGAACTGAAGATGCCTGTTTCTTATCCACTTTCTGCATCATCTTTTTCTTGGTTCTATTTTCTTTTTCCTTAACAGCTACAGTTGCTTCTTCAAGCAAAAGATCAGCTGCACATACCAATGCTTTTTGTACAGCTTTTTTTAAGACTAAACGACGAAACTTTTGTACCATACTATTTTCAATTTATGTGAAAACAGGTACTCTACCAAAAAGAATAAAGTCCGCTAATTCTACTAATGAAGTTTTATATATATTTTTGTGTATGTCTTTTTGTCCCAGGTTGAGTTTTACTCCTCTTTCTCACTTGTTCAAGTTTTGTACAAAGTTTTTAGCTGTTTTATCAATAAACTCTTCTTCCATAGTAGTGACTCACAGTTCTAAATGAAGTTTGTTGTTTCTGACATACTGTTTTTATGTTGAAAACTGTTCTTAGATGCTTGTTTTGAAGAAGTTGCATTCTTTTAATGACCTGTTTTGTTTTGTAATGTTAATCCATACGCCGCATGCATAAATTGTGATAGGTAGCAGTATTTCCAAGTTATGATGTTTGTTAATTAAGACAGTATCATCTGCATACATTGCCATAGATGCATCATGCGTGTCTATTGCACCTTTTGCGAAGATTTAGATCACTAGATAACGACTAAGAGCATCGTATTTCCTTGTTGAAGACATATTGGAATTCCTCTAGTAAAAATGCCCATCGTGCCTCTCAATCTGTAACAATCACAAAGTTAACACCTGGTAAGAAAACTTGAAATCTTTTGACACCTGCAATGATCGTCAGTACCTTCCAAACTGTAATGGGAATACATTTGTTAAACAAGTATCACAGTGTAATTTGGATTTAGCATCATTTTAATAGATCTACGATGTGACAAAATCTTCCAAAAGATTCCTTTTGGCTTATTCCATAAAAAGAATATTAATCTACTTTAAACAAATTGGTTAACGACTTGTATTTTAGTTTCTATTTTTCTAGAACGCGCTTATACTCTCTTTTGAACTTAAAAAATTGATATTTTCTCATTTAAACTTTACCAATTGATTTTAACAACCTCTAACCCTTTTTCCAATTTATCCAACGCATCAGCTAAGATTATGATATCATCCATGTATGTGGACATGATTTCATCTCTTATCAAATCTTTACTGGTGAATTATTAAGGCTAAATGCTGTAGTTTTAATTCAATGATAAATATATAACAATCTAATGCTGAGTAACAACTTAAAAATATTTTGTCTGTTATATTTATATCAGAAGTCCGTTATATCGAGGTTTTACTTTAAAAAGATAATCTGTTTGTTATTTTTTAACCTTGAGAAGGTCAAAATGATATTAAAAAATATTTCTTCTAAATAATAACATCCAAATCAAGACTTTTTATTTAATTTATTTCTATTTTTAGGAGCGGAAAAATTAATTCGTCACTTAAAAGCTAATAAAGTCCCCATAGCAATAGCAACATCATCAACACAAGAAAGCATGGAATATAAAACAGAACACTTAAAAAGTTTTTTCGATTTGTTTGATCATAAAGTTTGTGGTGGATCAGATCCAGAAGTGCGCCAAGGAAAACCAGCACCTGATATATTTTTAGTTTGCGCAAAACGATTTCCTGATAAACCCCACCCAGAAAAATGTTTAGTTTTGGAGGATGCTCCAAATGGGGCGAGAGGTGCAATCGACGCTGGTATGCAATGTGTTATAGTTCCAGATCAAGATGTTCCTCACGATTTATGTAATCATGCTACTCAAATTATCCCTTCACTCAAATATATAAGGCCTGAACACTTCGGATTACCACCTTTCACTTCATAATATAAAGTCATGAGATAGATGTTAAAGTTTAGTTGGGGTGATTAAATCTGCAATTTATGTTTTGCAATAAGTGGATCAAGTTAACCAAGCTAACTTTACTTAAAGCGTTAATAAAAGAGAAGAGGAGATAATGACAAATACAAACTGATAGACTAGTCAAACGTTAAATCAATATTTATTTGGTATACATTAATAACATTTTAATACAGTACCTAGCGATCAGAAGTTGTTTTATTTATTATTATTTTGCTACCTGTTCTAATTTTGTATAAATATCCTCCGCGGACATATTTTTTAATGAAACACTAGTTTCTTTACCCTTTTCTATTAACAAAAATAAAAATAACATTCTATAATAATATTTAGTAATACTAACCATATCTCGCCCAAAGTTTGGGTTCTACACTTGAACATTCCCTAACTAATATAGGAAAAGTAGGGTTTTGACTCTTAATTCCAACATAAAACTTCTCAACAAATTCTCTAAAAATTATAAAGGACTTATTACATAACCTCAATTTTATTCGGCTTATTTTTAGGTTATTTTACCGCGCCCCTTTGCTTGTTTCACCGCGTTGGCACAAATGTAATCTTAATTCCTTTAATCTTGAACCAAACTTCAAAGCTTTAGAACCCATTTTAATTTAATTTTTATTATTAAATTCTTTAACGTAAGTTTTGACTTTTGACAGAAATGTCAAATCAACAATGTGACCAACTTAAACAAATAACAAAAAAAATCTCCATATTTTTTGATTAATTATTTATTTATTAAAGAAATATAAAATTTTCTTGTTTTTTTACATAATTCTGTTAAAATTTCGTGATAATTTCCACGATAAATCATCTTGTCCGAATAATTTGCTCGGTACCGCCGATTTTGATTTTAAAGACATCTTTGCAGCTTCAAACCCAACAGACATACAAATTTCTTCGCTTAATCCTTTTAACATCGAACATATCAACCCCGCAACTAAACAATCACCGGCCCCACTAACATTTATAAATTCGTCTACAAAATCACCCGGATAATGTCTTATTTGGAGATCGGTTTCTTTTTCTTTTAAAAATAAAGGTCTACAAGCATCTGCATATCTTGAAATCACCAAACCATCAGCTCCTAAAGTAACGATAACATTATCAACGTACTCCGCCACAAACTTACAAATAAAAACTGCTTCGTCTATTTTATTTTTAGGTGAATCCCTTAAATTAACACCTAAAGTCCTTGCTATGTGTCTTAATTCGTTTAAATTGGGGGAAATATACTTTATTGATTTCCAAAATGGGGTTTTAAACGGTTTTTCCGAAACGATATGGTCGGTTGGTTCAAAAAACACTGCAACAAAAACATAAAAATTAATAAATTTTAAATTTCCCGCTGTTTTTATTTTAAAATTTTTAGTTGTACCAACCGTTTAAAATAAAAAAAAGCGGTTGTCATAACAAACAGACAATTCAGAGACATGGCAACTAAAACCAAAACGGGTATTTGTGCTATTACAACCACCGTAGTTGCATTTTTATTTATATTAATCGCTTTTTGTACCCCTTATTGGCTCGTAAATGATGGAAAAATTCCCGATCCACAATTCATTAAAATTGGTGAGTCATATCAAAACAAAGTTGGAAAGGAGTGGCCTTTAAATATTGTATTTCTTAATTTAACGATTTATCTTTTAGGTTTATGGGAAGTGTGTTTTAATAATTTCAAAGAATTTAAGCACCAATATGATACAAAATTCTTAGGGTGCTGGTGGGTTTTTGAAGAAGAATACTACATCATCCATGATTTTCTTTTACCAGCATTCTTTATTGCCACCCAATTCTTTTTCACCCTTTGCATGACTTTATTATTAGTTGCCGCGTTTTTAACATGGATGTATTGTTTTTGTAGTCGCGATCATGATAAATATTTACTTTTATTATTAACAATTGGATCAGATTTAATTTTGGCTGGTTTCTTTGGAACCGTTTCTTGCTTAATTTTTGGGTCAAATGGTGACCGACGAGATTGGATGCCTTATTGGGAACATAATGATTTAGGGTGGTCGTTTGGTTTAGCTTGTGTTGGTTCATTATTGTTATTCCCAGCAGGGGCTATGTTTTTAGTGGAAGCTAGACGAGTTAGATATCGAAAATTAGAAGCTTCAAGACCATCTTTACAATATCAAATGGATGAACGTAAACCACATCATTCACAAATGTATTAAAATTAAGCGTTTTTCTGTATTGAATCTACTTACTAAGTGTAAACCGTCCATTTTGTTTACTTTTTATTAATAATTTTGGTATTTAAAGTGTTAAAAGCGACCATAAAGGAGTATTAATGTTTATGAACAAAGTGTTGTATATTAATGTTGAATCTTGATTGAATCTATTTTTAAAAGTGCCTTAATTTGTATTATTGGGCAAATTTTAACTTATCTTTTTTAATTAACTGACTATACTTTGATATTATATTTTATATAATGTGTACAAAATAAATTATTTTTAAAATCTGACTTAAAATGAGTACTTTTAAAAAAAAAATGTAATTGAAGTTCAACTTGAGAAAACAATGTGACCTTTCCTCTAATCCAGCGATTCCCAAACTGTATTCCGCGAAAAAGTGAGATTAATGGGAAAAATCTAAAGCTATACATGTTAGTGTCTACCACAATTCGAATTTATTTTATCATTTAAGAAGATGCGCGGAAATACATGTAAAATGCGTTTCTATTAGGGCTATTATTTTGTTCTGTGCTCAAAAGTAAAGAAGTGGTTTTGGTGTAATTTCTCACTGCTGTGCTTTAAAACTATTAATTTTCGTTGCACTTGTTATATTTACCTTATTTTTAAAATTGGTAAGTAAATACAAATTTTTTACTAGTACACTTTTATATCAACATTACTTATACTCTATTTTTTTTAGTTCGGAGGAGTGTTTTCAAATTGAAGCGCCAAAAAGAAGAGTTACTATTGGTCAGTTTTAAGCAAAAATTACACTAGGAAAATTCGAGATGTTGCCAGCCGCGTAGAAACATTCGGGTCTCAACCCAACCCAACCCGCATGATTCTAATTCAAGGTCTTGTGATAGTTCAAGTGATAGTGTTAGTGTCTGAAGACGTACGGCTAAACCCGAAACTTTCTAGTTCTAGGTCTAGTGTTAGTTCTAGTTTTAGTTCAATAAAAACATACAACATAGTATTATCTTATGCTAACTAGAACCACTGCCACTAGAACTAACACAAGACCTAAAACTAGAATCAATCGGGTTTAGCAGCACGTCTCTCAAGACGGCTAAACCCGAATGATTCTAGTTCTAGGTCTTGTGTTAGTTCTACTGATGTGCTAATATAAAACTAAAATTAACACTAGAGCTAAAACTAGAAAATGTCGGGTTTATTCTCCACGACTTAGTGGTTTAGTTCGGAAACGTCAAGCAAACTAAGAACACTACACCCTGCGTAAAACTGCACATTCACTGAACTACTTTGAATGAAACCTATTTTGTCTTCGACGCAAACTGTTTCGCATTCATGAAACTGTTTCACTTCGTCAAAAGCAAAGTCTTTTCCAGATTAAATTTGTGCAAACTTCGCACTTTGGAAAGATTTGGCAAGCAAAAGAACATCGTGTCTCAGAAAGACTGCGTTCAGAAAGCATCGTTCGACAAACATAACATAATAAGAATAATATATTTTTGTTTCGCTTGTTTCGACATCGATTTGTCTTCAGCTAAGGAAATTTGCCAGAACATAGCCTCTGACAACTTTAGGACAAACGTGGTTGTTAAAAGATGAAAGCTTACTTTGAGCAAAATTCGTAACTCCACAAACCTCAAAATCTCTTTCGAGTTTGAACTTAGTTCTTTGTCTTACAATTAGTTAAGAGTAGGTACGCTAAAAAAAGTGATTCATTGCAGTTATCCAATAACACTTCGCATCACATTGCCTATTTTTCTGCTGATATAGAAATAGAGTTAATTAATCGACTTAAACTTTGCAATGAATTTTTGTTACAAATAGATGAGTCAACAGATGTCACAGGTCTCTCTATTTTACTGGTATTTGTGCGCTATGTACAGGATGTCCAAATTTCGATGGGTTTGCAGGGTATCTCAGTTATTATGAAAGACAGAAAGTTGCGGCTTCCGCGAACCTGAGCTCCTTTTTTGTGAAACTTACAATGACGCAAACCAAATTTTCATAGCCCTCTTCGTTTTTGATATACAGGGAGTGTTTGAAATTTACGATTTTCAGACACCTCCTGTACGGTAAATGTGTGTCACCGTACCCATACATTATTAATTATTCATAATTGTTGAATCTGTCATTTTTTGACATTTAAAGCTGTCAACGGCGTTATTTCGGTGTCTACTTTGATTGTAATTACTGATTCTCGATTTTTTTCTTATACAACCATATGATTTGATATGTTCATCGTATAGAGGGACTTATACTGTATCAAAGTATGCAAAAAAAAAATATGCATCCCATTTAAAATAACAATGTTGGTTGCCATAGCAACGAAACAAACAACAATACAAACAAGCAAATACCGACAAAAAATGCGCCAGGATTAATAATGATACTTGTATTTGAAACATTTTTCTTTACAACCACAAATGGCGAAGTTATTGGCTATATTCGAGACATTTGACACACCCTGTATACAGGGTGATTCAAAAAACCGCTGACAGACTTCTAGAGTAGATAATACATGAAAAATTAAGTTGAATAGTCTTAATATCTTCCTTAACTAGATATAACGGGATATAAACTTTGATCAAAGCAATAGTTTTTAAGAGAAACACGTTTGTAGAAAATTTATGAATCCAATCAAAAATTGTTGCTTTAATCAAAGTTTTGTAAGTACACGAGAATACTGCACGTTTCACAAAGTTAGCAATGGCGTTAAAAATATTTAAAAAAAAGGGTTTTTTATTGCAGATAATGTTTAATTTTAAAGAAACTTTGACACCCTTATATCTCGTTAAGGTGGCATTTGCAAGCCCATGTATATTAAGACTTTTCATCTTAATTTTGGATGTATTACCTGCCCTAGAAGTCTGTCAGCGGTTTTTTTGAATCACCCTGTATAGAAAAACCAACTTGATTGGAAAAGATGTACCAATATTTGTACAGATGGTGCACAAGCTGAACAGATGATTCGTATATTGGAAGAAGCTACAAATGCAACAAGACCTCATTGTATTTTGTACAGACAAGCACTAGTAACAAAAATAAATGTAAAGTCAAAGCTGTTACAGTCCAGATTATTTAAAATTGTATGTGATGAAATAGGAAGCCTCTTTTATTACACACTGAAGTAAGGTGGCTATCCAGAGGAAAAGCGTTGTCGAGATTGTTCGAATTCAGTAGCGAGTTATTGGTTTTCTTTTCTTCAAATTTTTGGCAAAATTTTGTGGAATTTTTAACAAATCTAACATGGCTAATGATTGTAGCTTATTTAACGGATATATTTACTAAGTGCAATGAAATAAAGTTGTTGTTACAAGGAAAAGATATATCTGTCATTCATGTTGCAGTTAAAATTACGGGTTTCAGACGAAAATTGACGTTTTGACATGTACATATTTATTAAAATAAATATATTATACTATAGTTCATTTTTTTTCTATAATACCTGTCAAATTGTTGTAAAGTTGGCAAAATTAACAGGGAGTTTTGTTTTATCATGTTTTGAAGTAAATATGTCACATTGATGTATAAGGTATTTTATTCTATTAATTACTTTGTAGCACGTAAGTAAATATGTCACATTGATGTATAAGGTATTTTATTCTATTAATTACTTTGTAGCACGTTTTTACAACAAATATGTACTTCGTTAAAATCGTATTTATCTAAAAATTTATTAGNTGATTGTAAATTAGAGATTTAATATTTTCGGAAAACGCATTTTTTTCTTATACAACCATATGATTTGATATGTTCATCGTATAGAGGGACTTATCCTCTATCAAAGTATGCAAAAAAAACATATGCATCCCATTTAAAATAACAATGTTGGTTGCCATAGCAACGAAACAAACAAGCAAATACCGACAAAAAATGCGCCACGATTAATAATGATACTTGTATTTGAAATATTTTTCTTTAAAACCACAAATGGCGAAGTTATTGGCTATATTCGGGACATTTGACACACCCTGTATACAGAGTGATTCAAAAAACCGCTGACAGACTTCTGGAGTAGATAATACATGAAAAATTAAGATGAATAGTCTTAATATCCTCCTTAACGAGATATAACGGGATATAAACTTTGACTTTTCATCTTAATTTTTGATGTATTACCTGCCCTAGAAGTCTGTCAGCGGTTTTTTGAATCACCTGTATATAAAAACCAACTTGATTGGAAAAGATGTACCAATATTTGCACAGATGGTGCACAAGCAATGGTGAGCAAGATGAAAGGGGTTGTAGTTCGTATATTGGAAGAAGCTACAAATGCAACAAGAACTCATTGTATTTTGTACAGACAAGCACAAGTAACAAAAAAAATGTCGATATACCGTATTTTCTCGAATGTAATCCGCACCTTTTTTACAAATTTTATGTGCTCTAAAATCAAAAGCGGATTACAATCCGGTGCGGATTAGATTCGCAGTCGTATAGTTGCAATTTGGAAAATAGTAAAATAAAATCACATTATAACAATAACACTTTATTAAGGGTTTTAGAACGATATTTACATTTTTATGTATCATTTTCTTCCCATATTACGTCATCTTCGGATTATACAAAACTTCTTAAATGATGTTATAATATTGTTTTCAGGGATCGTTTTCCATGTCGCCTACACTCACTGAACAAGTTCAGAAGCTCCTTTAATTGCTCCCGGTTTTGTTAATTCTCGAGTTTGTTAATATACATATACATACACAGGTTGTAGTATGGATGTTATTCCACCAGGTATTATTATTGTGACAAGAAGTCTAAACCAAGGGCAATCATCTATGATTAATTAATATCCTTATTTAATAATCTTCCTGGTCTACGACTCCATACTTGTCTTAATCATTCCATCATCAGCTTTTCAATTATCCATCCTTTTTGTTGTGCCCTAACTAGGACCTCATTCGGGAAGTCTTTCAGATTTCAGAATGGTTTTTTTCTCAATAGTAGTAATGTCAGCAATTTTTCCCTATCACTTGTTACTGCTAGCATCAATGTGATGCGCAATTTTTCGCAACCATTCGTTTATAAAGAAATTTCCCACACACCTCTTCTTTCCAGTGTGTAGTTGGGTGGCATATCCAGATATACTACCATTTTGTTGACATTTACAGTTTGAGACAAATTGAAATTTTCTTGAAAATCATTAGGAGCTTTTGGGAAATTGTAGTTCTGCGCCTCAACGATAACACCATTCGGCGCATAAATCCCACAGTCCAACCTTAGCTAGTATTAAAAATTTTTTAGTCCCTCCTTTCGTTTTTCTTGAGAGAACTAGAAAACTGCCTCGTCAATTTCATGAAATCGTCTCTTCTTTGGCCCGGTAAATTTTTTGCACGATGCCTCACAGTCTGCAATAGCTACCTTGTCTTTCCGCAACAGCCGCAACGTTACTCTCATTAACAGCAAAAATTGTACCAGCTTTTCGATTTCCTTAACGCTAACTTAATAACATCTCTTTAAACTTTGCTGTATAGAAGAACCTTTTAGATTTTTGCTACTTTTTTTTTATAATTACGCTATTATATGTATAATTAAGCACACACCACGTTCGAGCTACTACGAGGGCAGTATATGAACGGAATTCGTGCTAGGCATTACTATTTATTTTTAAAATTATATTTATTTTCCAATTTTTTCTGGCTTGGTATATTTAAAGTCTAGTCTAATAAAAACTCGTCGTAAGCAAGGTTTCTTTAGGTGCATCAGCGTCAGTCAACAGAAAAAATATATATTTATGGTTAACAACAAGCATCGCATCGTTTTGGTGTTGTCGAATTGCTCAAAGAAAGATGCGGATTACATTCGCAAACAACATTTTTTTACCACTATGCATTTTTAAAATCGGGGTGCGGATTAGATTCGAGTGCGGATAAGATTCGAGAAAATACGGTATTTTAACAAAATGTAAAGTCAAGACTGTTACAGTCCAGATTATTTAAAATTATATGTGATGAAATAGGAACCCAACATACCTCAGTTTTATTACACACTGAAGTAAGGTGGCTATTCAGAGGAAAAGCGTTGTCGAGATTGTTGGAATTCCGTAGCGAGTTATTGGTTTTTTCTTCAAATTTTTGGCTAAATTTTGTGGAATTTTTAACAAATCTAACATGGCTAATGATTGTAGTTTATTTAGCGGATATATTTATTAAGTGCAATGAAATAAAGTTGTTCTTACAAAGAAAAGATATATGTCATTCATGTTGCAGTTAAAATTACGGGTTTCAAACGAAAATTGACGTTTTGACATGTACATATTTATTAAAATAAATATATACTACTATTTTCTTAACCAAATATACAGTGTGTCCCCGAATAGGTGAAACGACTCTTATAAAATGTAAATTTTTTTCGATATAAATTGGGGTCATTTTTTGGGGTTTAGCCCTGCTTGGTGAAAGACTAATTTTGAACATATTTTCAAGTTTTAAAAAACAAGTGAGTGTTGACACTAAAGCGAAAACTCCTTGTGTGTCAGGTAATGAGATTTTTACCAAAGTAGGCCGATCATTCCGAAAATTTTCATATGGCCATAATTTTTTATTCTGAACAAAACTTTTTAGTAATATTTTCACGTACTATAAACAGAAAAGGTAGTTTACCTGCTACAAAAAGAGTTTTTCTTTCACCGACCAAGTTCACTTGTTTTTTAAAACTTGAAAATATGTTTAAAATTAGTCTTTAATCAAGCAGGGCCAAACCCCAAAAAATGACAATTAATATCGAAAAAAAATTTACGTTTTATAAGAATCGTTTCACCTATCCGGGGACACCTGTATATGTGTTAGCATTATCATTTACACCCAGAGATGCCAGATGTCCCATGGAAGAACGATTTTTCTTTGCTATCGTTATTACAAAAAAAAGGGTCGTTACAGAAACAATAAAATCATAATTAAAGAAATGTAAGGAAATCTGTTTGGAAATAGTTATTGGAAACTTTTGTCCCAACCCAAATTGAAAATCTGGCATCCATGTTTACATCTGACATTACTTTACTGTTCCTTACAAATTTTAGAACTTAAGACGTGTTTGGTAAAAAAAGTTTGGGAAACACTGCTCTACACAACTCACTAATTAACTTCTCCAAACGCATTCTGAATCATCAAAAATCATAATAATTAAAGCTTCCGAATGACGAACAAAAATGCCGCCATTATAATACACTCTTTCATAACATTGCTTTTTAATAAGACATTTTCTTTGTTCAAAACATCCCACAAAAATTGTTTTAAATTTATTTATTTTTTTAGAGGAATTTTTCTATCCCACGCATTATAAAACGTGCTACATATTCACTTTCTTAGCCATTTCCCCTACCACACCACACCTGACCCAGGAATTGTGTCATAGATGAATAAAACCACCTCGAGTTAGCGTCGAGGCGTGTCTTGTTAAATCCGACGAAAACTTTGCGGAAAATTTTTACTTTTTTTTATTACCATGTGTGTGTGTTTTATCTGACGAAAAGAAATCTTTTACAATTTAGTTTCACCGATAAGATAAGGTTTTTTAATCAACGAAAACATGGAGGATAAGGTGAGTGCGTTGATCTTTAATGTTTGTAAACAAACCTAACTAAAGCGTTTATATAAATTCTTTAGGAAAAAAATCGATCATTGGCCGGAAATGTAGCGATTGGTTTTTTCGTCTTGGGAATGGTTTGTGTATGTGTAGCTTTTGGGACACCTAATTGGCTTGTATCAGATCCTAGAATATCAGGGGCTCGTTTGGATAGATTTGGTTTATGGACACATTGTTTCCGTTCATTAGGAGACCCATATGATGTTTATCAAAGAAGATTTTTCGTTGGTTGTAGATGGATATATGATCCTTTTACAACCGGTTATGATAACTTAAGAGGCTACCTAATACCCGGATTTATGGTTGCAACTCAATTATTCTTCACATTATGTTTTATAAGTGTTTTAATATCAACTATATTGATTTTGATCTATTTTTTGTGTTGTGGACCAGAACAGAGAAGGTAAAAAACTAATTTTATTATCTATCTCTTTTTGTTCTTTTCATAAACTTCTTTGACATCATTAACATACTTCATGAATACTTGTATTATGTAAACAGTTTAGTTGAAGGTGATGGGAACAATATGGTATTTCACAAGATCGTTTGGTATTCCACTAAACAATTGTTACATACACAAGATATTCATCATCACTATAAAAAAGGATTTTTATTTATCTTCATTGTTTTAACAGATTTATTCATCTTGTTCGAATCATATCTTGGTTACTATTTGGAGGAGGACTTTGTGGAGGAATAGCAGTTATAGTTTTTGTCACAACAGCTAATAGACCTGGTTGGATGCCCGGTCATGACAACAACTTCTTTGGCTGGTCGTTTGTGTTAGCAGCAGTTGGAGTTGTTGCAATTTTAGTGTCTTCCATTCTGTTTTTCATCGATTTGCATATCAGCGAAAGGAAGAAACGCGCATTAAAAGAATCTCAGGCAAAATTCGAAATGCAGGCCGAAACTAAAGCTTAATTATTAATTCCGTCCTTATATCAAGCAACAAATCCGTCCAGTACTGAGGTTTTATTTTTATTTTTTTATTATTATTAGGTTAAAATGATTAAAAAGTATTGTATGTATGTAAATATTGTTGAAATATGTGTTAACATTTTTAAGCACATAGTTTATTAAGCAAACAATTCCTTTTATAATTCAATTTTTAAACGTAAATGAGAGCCTTATCAATGCCTTATATAATATATAAATAGAATCTCTACATTTCATTAGATCGTAAATTTTTGAAACTTTTATGATTTTATAAGAATTTTATTTACAATAAACATTTTATTAAGGGATTTTGTATTTTATTAAAAAAAATAATTGTTTAATTCTTAACCCTAACATTGAGGTTATATGTCAAACTGTCATTTTTGACGTTTAAATTGAGGTACATATATGTATGTGTCAAAAGATAATGTATTTTTTATATAAATTATCCAATTAATAATCATCACTTATTAAGGGATTTTATATTTTATTATTCTCTGAGAAATACCATAATTCTATTTAAAAAAATAATGATTATTTCATTCTTAACCCTAACATTGAGGTTAAACGTCAAATCAGTGTCTTCAAACTGTCATTTTTGACGTTTAAATGTCAAATTTGTATGAGCATATTAAAATCTATGTTTTATTTATTTAATATATCAAATTGAGTTGTGAGGCGAATTCAATGTTACGATTAAAAGATTCCACAGTTTCTTCAGTGTTGAACTTAAGTTTCTATTTCAAAGTATTCAGAAGTCATTGCAAACTAAAATTCAAGGCAATTCAAGGATAAATTCACGTTAAGTAATCAGATGCTGCTGCAGAAAAATCTGTGGGTTCCTAATGCCATAAATGTTGAACGTTGATATGGAGGCCTTCAGAATAAATGGGATTTTCACTCAAGGGCTACTATCATAAAGACAGACAGAAAGATTTTGAAGGATAACGATAATGTACCACCTTGAATGCTGGACTTTAACCCCTTCGTTTTTTTTAACATAACAATGTTTACACTCAAACCATTGCAAAGGTAATGTTAAAAAGATTTTTGTTAGAACCTATCCATAAAGATCTCCAACTTCTAAATTAACTTGTAGAATTTAACCTATAAAGATTGAAACGTTATTTCTGGACACCTCTATAAAATGTCATACCGGAAAAAACGCTTCTGAGTAACAAATACTAAATTGTTTATGGATTGGTAATAATTATATGAAAAAACAGTAACTAATCATCGCATGTCGGTATAAAAGTCAGTTTTGGTTACTTCTTTCTCAAAGTAAATTTACAATGAAGTTTATCTCCATTTAAAATACAACATTATATTAAGAAAAAGACACATAGATACACAAAATACACATAGATATAATGGTTAAAGTAGTAAAAGTTGATTTTACTGAAAATTTTCGGGTTTTTGCTCAACCAAAACATTTTTTTAATACATACATATATGTATGTGTCAAAAGATAATATATTTTTTATATAAATTGTCCAATTAATAATTATCACTTATTAAAGAATTTTGTATTTTATTATTCTCTGAGAAATACCATAATTTTATTAAAAAACATTATTATTTAATTCTTAACTTAACCTTAACATTGAGGTTAAATGTCAAATTAGTCTCTTCAAACTGTCATTTTTGACGTTTAAATGTCAAATTTGCATGAGCATATGAAAATCTATGTTTGATTTATTTAATATATCAAATTGAGTTGTGAGGCGAATTCAATGTTATGATTAAAAGATACAACATACACAAAATACACATAGATATGATGCTTAAAGCAATAAAACTCGATTTTACTAAAAAATTTCGAGCTTTTGCTCAACCAAAACATTAGTTTCTTCATATATGTCAAAAGATAATGTATTTTTTATATAAATTATCAAATTAATCATCACTTATTCATGATGTAATCATCACTTATTAAAAAAGAGTATTGATTACTTCATATCTCATAAATATTTAATAAAACGGTTAAAAATTTGAACTTCCCGCTTAATTTTAATGAATACAAGTGGAAGTAGGAGTGGTCGCTTAATGTTTTGCTTTTGCCAGTGAATCAACCATCAACACAGACAACAAGTGACCAAAATTGTACAAAAATGGGTGTGGATAAAAATGAATATCCAAAAGCATCAAGTAAGATCTTCAATTCCTTTAATAACTATCGATTAAACGATTCTAACCTCAAACATTTTTAGAACACCTCGTAAACGGATCGATTTTAACCTATATAGGTGGAATGTTTTTGATTATATCTTTTTGCAGCCCTTATTGGGTGCAATCATTCGAATATACGAACTCCGAATTTAAGCACATGGGTTTATGGGAATATTGTTTTGAAAATTTCCGTTACCCTTATGACCAGTTTAATAAGGTGTTTACAGGTTGCTACCATGTTTTTAGCGAGGAATACTTTTTGATTCGAGAATGGATTTTACCACCTTGGTTAATGGCAGTTCAAGCATTTGTAACTATGTCTTTTTTATTAAGCTTTGGGGCCCAAACTATTATGGCATTACAATTATGTAGATGGCCCTTAGATTTTGTACTACAATATGAATGGATTTTATCAGCTATTGATTTTATTAGTTGTACTGCTACAAGTAATACTTTTTTAAAATTTAATTTCTTTGTAATTAGGTATTTAATGTTTATTTATTTTTAGCTGTTTTTATGTTTTTTGCTGTGATGGTATTTGGGTGTTCACATACCCGAAGAGATTGGTTGATGTACCCAAATTATAACTATTTGAGTTGGTCATATGGTTTTGCAGTACTCTCATTCTTTTTCCATGGATTTGCTGCTTTGTACCTTTATAAAGAGGCAAAATTAAGCTATGAATTAAGAGAGAAGTCAAGGAATCTTATCACCCAAATGGATCATCAAAATGTACAAAATGTTCATGGATATTATTAAAACAACATGTTTTATGCACATATAATTATTTGATCAAGTATTTTTATTTTAGATTTTTTTTATGTTTGCGTTTATTTTTTATACTTAAATGTTATTAAGAAATATTCCGTCCTGGGAGAATCTCAATTTGTTTTATAATGTTGAAATTAAATTTTTGCATTTTCTCTAGAATTTTTAGCCTTAGAATTGACATTACATCGAATGATTAGTAATTATCACGAGTTGTGACTTGTTGTGGCCTTACCCACTTACAAAATAATTGCTGTTTTTTTATTGTACGTCTATATTTTTGTATAATAAGATGTTTTATTCAAAATTTTAATAGATTTTGAAACCTACCTTGTTTTTGGTATCTTTGAGCCATCTCCAAAACCATGCTCAAACTTTCCATGGGAGGATTCCCATCCAAAACCAAAATTGAAGCATCCTTAATAACCCCTTCATGTTTTTCCACCATTTCAGGGGTAAGCTCTTTAAAAATCTCCATATCCCCAATTAAAACTTTACATTCACCACATTCATCAAAAACTACAGCACATTGAGCAGTTGTGAACCCATTTAATTTTTCGATATTTTTCTTTTCAGCGAGACTATTTGAAATGATTTCTCCCGACGTATCGTTTCCAATTACAGAAATAAATATGGGTTGTTCATTTATTTTGGAAATCGCATCCGCGATGTTCCTAGCTACGCCCCCAGGGCTTTCAGTAAATTTTCCATCGTGTATACGACCGTCAAGCTAAAACCAAAAAAAAAATGGATTACAAAAAGTTATTGCGAAAAGGATGATTTCCCGTATTTACAAAACAATGAGTATAAATTCGCCGTACAATAGCTAGCTGCTATTGTTTACAGCCGGCAAAACAGGCAAAGTTAAATTAATAAACTTTCATGGAATTGCCCCCGAAACTGAATTTAGACGAAAACACTTAGAAACTACGCTTTGCACACAAGAATTTGTGACGCAATTTCAATTTTCGAGAATATAATGATCTATATAGTTTCCATGAATTTTAATTAAAATTTAAAACTGTTTTAATCCTCCTTCTTGGAATTTGGAAGAGAGATGGAAAAATTAATGACGAAAACTCGAAATCAAAGTTGTGTACCTACCCGGTTTCATTAATGACCTGGGTCACCGTTGTTTGCCACAACCCCCCTTTAACAGCAGGAACGAGATTCCCCTTTTCCGTAAACCAGAAACAGAAAGGGTCGGTTATTAGTGAATATAGTGTCTATATCTGACGACTACCAACCTCAGCCGTACTGATAAACAAGGATGGGGGGGACAAACGGAGAAATTCTCGGCGTCGTTTCCATAGAAACGAGAGGGTGAAAGGGCATTGGGTCAAAATGGTTGGGGGATAACGTCGTTGGTGTCATGGAGGTAGATCTCCGGTAACCCAGAGGTAAAAATTGCGATGTTTGGAAACATTTAAAAACAATTTGCGCCGTGTTCTTAATTTGTTGAAGGTTGGTTTGTAACCTGATTGATGGCTAAACTCTCGGTGGCTCTAAATCATTTCACGCGTAATTTCGCGGGAACACCCACGTAGATCTAAATTTTCAACTTTATTCGAAAATATTGAAATTTATAGCGTTTCAGTGTATGTACGTCAGTTGATGTTTTTGCACTTTAAAACTTAGTTCTTCTATAATTTAAAGAAATAATATATCCTGGTATATGTATATGCATTATACGTCAAGTTAATTACGGATTGAACGTTTTAATTTTTTCATTCGCTTATACAATCGAGCGTTGGCGTCCAATCAAGTTAACGCGATGTTAACGAATTTTATAAAATTGGCTACTTCAAACGAACTAAATCTGTAATTACAATCCAGAGGGAAATCCTAACGAATGCCAATGGGATTAAAAATCCTAAAAACATTAACTACGAGCTCAAATCTGTTTAAACACTTGAAATCATCCTTTTGTTAGGAAACATGTCTCTGTATTTCATATATCAGCTAAATGAGGCGAATATCGTGCAATAAGCAACAATTATATCCTCACATTGTTATGGTTATTGAAAAATGAAGTTTAGCAGATGAAGATTTTTAATAACCTTTTCACAAATCAGAAGACACATAAACTATGATAGAGCAGCAACGCGGAAAAATAGCGACTATAACAGAATCGTCCAGAAGAGGCAGCTGAACGAAACCACGTTGTGCAAGGATAAAGCTGGGAAAGATATGTGACCACAACTAAATATTAAACAGACGGGGACAGTATTTTGATCAGCTTATACTATCCGTGGTTATAGTGCGGAGACATGATCTATTAGCACATTTAATAACTTGGTTGACAAGACCAGTTATATGATATATTAATACATAATATATACTATGATAAAGGAATTAATTTCCGATTACTCGTTAATATTCCAAGGATAGGATTTCAGATTGCCGCCATTGACATTCCCTCTTGCGTTGAACATTTACACCACACTTCTAGTGAAATAATTAGATATCGGGAGTTCCGGGCGGAGATGTATTGGTTTCCCGGTAATTGTAAACAATATTACTGCTGCCTACCGACTTACTATACGTATTGCTTGCAATGTAAAAGCTAAGCACTGCTTATCCGCGTTTGCCACAAAGACACAAAGGTTAGGCATAATTATCACCAAATCTGATGCTAACCTAAGGACGCTACAGTTCCGCCAACTCCTACTATTTTCTCTTTATCTTATTCTCTTAATCTTCATAATGAATTCGATGTGTGTGATGACGTAGAAGATAGCAATGTTATATTTCGAAGCACTTGAAAATCTTGACAAGTTCATACCCTTGTCTCTCTTGCTAAGCATGTTGCGAAATTTACACGATAATGATCGTATGAGAATCTAATCTAATTTTGCTGATGTAAAAGATTTGGGACGAAGGAAAACTTGAGAAATCAAAGTCATGTGATTGCAATGAATGAACTATGGGATCATTCACTAGATACAGATGTGCCGAAGAGGATTATGCAAGCCAAAGCATAAGGACGACCTAAACTCAGGCGCAAGAATGTGATAACAGAGTAGCGGTCAAAGTAGGATTTAGAGACTGGAAAACAGCTACACGGAATAAGGATAAATGGAAAAGGAGATGATATTTATCTCAGTTCTTGTACAGAACGAATGTTGTATATATTGCATTAAAATAATGGAGCTGTAGGTGGAGGAGACAGAAATATCACTCTATTAATTAAACATAGAAAATAATATCTGAGCCTGTTTCTCATAATATCATACTATATCATACTGTGTTATACATTGTTGCTCCATGGATAAAAGTAGAAAGCACTAAACTGTTTCTGTACAGTAACATTGAATATCTGCCGATGTTGGTAAATTCATCTAATAGCACAGAAGGCTATTTTAATACATTCCATTGCATGATTTGTAAAACGCAAACTTGAGTCGATTACTAGTCTAAGATTCCCTGCTTATGGAAAAACTTCTATTTTTTCGTTATTTAAAAGTACATTTACATAATTTTGATTTAAATTACCGACACATACTATTTTTGATTTTGTTGGATTTAAATGCAATTTTATTCTATTAGAATAATCAAATAGCGATTTGAAATCCTGATTTATAAGCTAGCAAATCGAAGCAAGAGCATGTTTTGGAAAAGAAATATACAGTTGTGTGTTATCAGCATATATGTGAACATTGTATATTGAACACAAGTGTTTGTGACACGAAGATATTTGGGAAGTATAAATTGAGAACAACCCAAAATGGACCCCGTGATACACCATTAATAAGTAAAGAGGTAGAGCATTCATTATCTACTTTAATAACCTCGCTATGACCTGACAAGAAGACTTCTAGGAGCCAATTGTGTTCGAAATGTCAGGGTCGTCATTAACTAAAAATGGCCATTGCAAACATGGTTGCAATTTATAAAGATACTTTGTAGAATTCAATCTGCAGTTTTTACTTTGCAGCTATTATCTGTTATTTGTAAGCAAGATTTTGTAAACTACAGCTATAATTTGTAGTCTGTAGCTACAATCTGCAGTCTTCAATCAGTAGCTATGTGGAGCAGTATGTAACTCGCTTTCAGTGTGTGGCTAGAGTTTGCAGTATGCTACTTTTGCATTTGGTTTGTGGCTGGGTTGTATTTTGCAAGAATATTATGCTGTATGCTTCTGTAGCAACATAGTTTGCAATATAGATAGAAACACATGTTTGAAGAAAAACGTAGATCGTAGGTGATGATTTATCTCAAATTGTCAATTAAATATCAATGTGAACTAAATTAAACGTTATTAATAGACCTTACACAAATTGATTTGGGTGAAATGTCAACTTGCTAATTAAACGTCAAAAAGTAACTGACATCAAAGTGACGTTTTAACAAATTGATGTTTAATTTTTGACTTTCGATCTCTTCAGTATGTAGTTATGATTTGCAGTTTGCAGCCATAGTTTGTAATATATCGTCTGTAATGTTTAATTTTTCAAAAACGTATATAACTTCAGCTCCACGTGAGGTTGATGCCCGCGAAAAACATTTATCTGAAAATACCGATTTTTCTTCAACTTTAAAATTATTTTTATGAATTATTTTATGCCAATGTCTTATTTTGCATTCAAAATTAAAAGTAGAACACTATAAATCTTTAAAATACTAATTTAGCAACAAAGTTATAGAGAAAGTTATTATTTTGATACTAACTTCCAATTCTGACGTAAAACTTACAGTAATTGTCTCTAGGGCCGATGTTTCCGAACTATATGTATACTCTAATTAATGCGGGGTTAGTTATATTGCTCTTTAACTAGTCACGTGGATACAAGTAAATCCCAAATGGCACTATGTATCATGTGCAAGCTCATCTTGCAAAAGTTACGGATGCACATTTAAACCATAAATTAATACGCACAGTTATATAATAATACCACGAGACTACTTAGTTAAACATAAATAAAAATAGTATTTTAATAACAATTAACATATAATTGTATCTAACACACAAAGATCCTTTTAGTAAATTTTGGAACCAGCTGTTAGACACTGGAAGTTCATAAACGACTCTAACTTTGCTCTAAATGTTGAAAGTTAGAAATAGCATTTAGTTGTATAGCAACGTTTCTCACTCCCTTAAGAGAACTTTACATAATATTTGAGTTACAACAGATAAACGTAACATTTAAACCAACCACAAGTCTAACAGAACTCAAAAACTGAGACAATTGCATTAAAACCCGAGTCACGGGCCAACCCACTTTATTAACTTTCGAAAGCTCACAGCCGGATATTAACGCCGAAGTAACCCCCAATTTTTTTTATCCGTCTAACTTAAAAACTTTCCGAGGTAAAATTGGTTTTGAAAAGTAATTTTTGTTGATATCAAATAATTTTTTTGTGATTTCTTTTGATTGCAGTGTTCTAACGTTGGGCGCCGATAATTTAGACGTGAGAGGGCGCGGCGCTGGGGCCGTCGGCGTCGCTTTGAACCCCAATACGCCCGCCGCCTCAGTCCGCTTGAAAACGTGGACAACGTACGTGGTGGCCACGAATACGACCGATAGAGAGGTTAGGCGTCGCGACGCTCCTCGGACCGGTACGGAGCGCCGCCGGGAGGGTGTAGTGGTGCGACCGTTTTAACCGGGAAATGAATTTTCATTCGGTAAACACCGTAATCAGCGAGTGAAATCGTTTACTTTCTTCAAATTTTATTAAGAGTTTTCTTTTTATTTTAACCAACAATTGGAGAAAATCGTCTAAAGAGAAAAAGAAATTGTTGAAGTCTTTAAAGGTGAGTTTAACAACTTTTTTAACACTTTTTTCTTATTCGCTTGTTAAAAATTTCAAAAAACCAAATTATGTGGTTGGAAAATTTCCGGGTAAACTTGAGTTATGATTTTTATTATTGCATAATTGAATTGATGAAATGCATTTTATTTCATTGTCAAGGGAAAAGAAATTTTATTGATGACGTCACTTGTATTGATGACTGATCGTCAATAATAAAGTAAGAGTGAAAAGCGAATTGAATTCGAATTTTTGTTTTTAACAAATTTTGTTTATTTATTTTAACATAAACTAACGATTGGTAAAAGATTGCAACTAAAAAAGCTTTTAGTTTGATCGATTTATTCCGATTTCATCAGATAACGAAGAAATATGACATCAATTAATTGCGGGGCTATCAAAATATGTAAAATAAACCGAACATATTATATTTTGATCTCAAAATCCATAATTTACGTTATAAAACCATGTTTCTAAACACATCCATAAAAATGGTTTGCTCCCAAGAACATAAACCAATCATCATTTTACATTTTACACTACAAAGAACATCCAGGACAAGTTTATTTTTCCGAAGACCAGTGAGAATAAACCATTTCTCTTCCTTAAAATTTATACCTTATTAAAAAAAATAAACTAAATTACTTCGATTTTGATTAATAGAGGGAACTTCTTAAAAGTATCGATTGATTAATTGTGTTCACTAAATGGAGCAACGTCCCAATTTTCGTGTTAATATTCCTCTTACATCGCCAAGAAATTAGAGTGATTTATTTTCCTCGCTCGTTGTTAATCCACTACGAAAATTTACTACCGAAATATTTTCATACTTCCTCTTTTGCACACCTCACAGACGTGCAGAAAGAACCCGGCGCCTGATGAGACGTTGTCGACGGCGTTGTTCGTGACGTCACGCAAGAAACCATCCTCATCCTTTTTTGATGAAATGGAGTCGTAAATCATACTTTTATCCGACAGCGAATGGTCCACGTGGCTTTTTCTCTCCCTCGTTGAATACGAAATAGTAATTTCAACTTGAGAACGTAATTTTAAAGAGATAAAAGCATCCGAATAGTGGAAAGTTTTCCTTTTTTTCAATTACTTTTAAAGGCAATTTCATTATACGTATAAAAGAGTGTTTAATTATAACGAAGGGAGAGGAATTCATATCATCAAATATCCGCGGTGTCAATTAAGTCGCGCTCTTATGTCCCTTCACATAGTTCCATTCGACGGCTTCAGGGAACGATCTAATTAAACCTTTTGTGTACAGGAGGCGAACTCCAATAATCGTATATCACTTTGGACGACGACATCGCGGTGTACCGAAAACCTTCTGTTCCGGTACCTCGAACACGTGTCTCTTTTTTTATAACTTCATCTATTACAGTGAAACACAATTATCTGATACGACGTCATGGTTAAAATGTTTCAGTTTTTATATCGAGTGATATATGATGACATTTTGAAATCTTATTGGGTTTTTCTTTCATTATAAGGAGTTTCAAAAAATATTGGTGGAGGAGCGGGTTAATTTTTTTTAAAACAAATACTACTCCGCATCAATTCCTCTCGAAAAATTAACGACTCATAATCAGTATCAACCTCAAACGATTTTTTGATTTGGTAATCATCAATATAAATTTGATTGCGATCGGGACGCGGAATGAGATTCACGAGTTATTTATATGTGTATATATGAACTACATGAAGATAAATGCAATTTAAATCCACAAACGATTGAATGATGTGAAACATTACAATAGAACTCGAGGTAAAGCGAAAAGATTACTCATTTTAATACAAAACTATAAATTTATTCGAACGATTTTAAAAATTCATAAATAATACGATTTATATAGAGAAGTGTTATTTTTTTAGTGGTAAAAACCGTTTTTGAAAATACGGATTAGTACTTGAGATAATACTTTTTAAAAGTATCTAGAATTGGTAACATTATATAGAGAAAACAATGTTTTTAAAGAATTTTAAAAAATCATAAAATATCGAATGCTTGAGATATTCTTATGAAATATATACGATTTATAAAGAAAAGTGTGATCTTTTTGGTGATAAAAATCGTTTTTGAACATACGGCTTAGTACTTGAGATAATAATTTTTAAAAGCATCTAGAATTGGTTATGCTATGTAGCGAAAACAATAATTTTAAAAAATCATAAAAAATCGAATGCTTGAGATATTCTTATGAAATATATACGATTTATAAAGAAAAGTGTGATCTTTTTAGTGGTAAAAACCGTTTTTGGAAATATATCTTAATACTTGAGATAATTTTTAAAATCAACTAAAATTAGTGTTGCTATATAAAAACAATTTTATTCGAATGATTTTAAAAAAATCATAAAAAATCGAATGCTTGAGATATTCTTATGAAATATATACGATTTATAAAGAAAAGTGTGATCTTTTTAGTGGTAAAAACCGTTTTTGAAAATACGGCTTAGTACTTGAGATAATAATTTTTAAAAGCATCTAGAATTGGTTATGCTATGTAGCGAAAACAATAATTTTAAAAAATCATAAAAAATCGTGTGCTTGGGATATTCTTATGAAATATATACGATTTATAAAGAAAAGTGTGATCTTTTTACCGGTAAAAACCGTTTTTGGAAGCATATTTTAATACTTGAGATAATTAAAAAAAAAGTCTACTAAAATAAGTGCTATATAAAAACAATTTTATTTGAATGATTTTGAAGAAAAATCATAAAAAATCGAATGCTTCAGAAACCGTTATGAAATATATACGAATTATAAAGTGTGGTCTTTTTAGTGGTAAAAACCTTTTTTGAAAATACGTCTTCGTACTTGAGATAATTTTTAAAATGTACTAAAATTAGTATCACTTAAAAGAAAAAAAGTATTCGATTAATTTTAAGATAAACCATAACAAATCCAATCTCCAGGCATCTTTATAAAATTTTTAGGCTTGATGAAAAATAGTATGACCTATTTAGTTGTAAATATCTTCTACATATGTAATTACACATTTTATCATACTTCTTAAATAATGTGGAGAGTTAATTTCTTGGACTCTCGAAATAAATAAACTATAGAAAAAGAACTTTGTTTGTGCCCTTAGAGTTTTTTATACATTAGTGATAATAGATTTCACCAGGAGGACATTAATCACACTACTCGGACAATTTTTTTAATATTATATTTTGAGCAAATTGTCTTTTTTAAAGAAGCAGTCGCTGTTGTGGCTTTAAGCTTACATTTCTGGCTACAAAACATCTACCATAATAGTCTTGAATCAGCCCTTCATTCATATTACACATGTTTCGATCATGAAAGAGCTTTGTATTGAATTTGTACTTTTTTTTTGTGATCTGAACTCTGATTGAGTAGTTGAAACATATAACGTTTCGGTACATGGTTAAAGAGAAGTCAGCAGATTTCTTGCACATTCATCACTATCAGCCGTTTTCATTTCTTGATCATAACTCTTGACTATATAATACTTTACTAAGCTATTCTTTTGCACCAACATATATTTTTATATTTACTATTACCTCTACTATCATAAAATAAGTTGCACAACGTATTCCCTATGAACATATCTGCGCTATCTTAACTGTATCGGTACTTACTACCTGCTACTATTTAACCCAATCCAACCTAAACCAACCTGGGTTGGGTTATATATCATAACCTATCTTAGGTTGTGGTATATCATACAATATATACGATCATCTTTAATTACATTAAAATTCGTTCCCTTTACCAATAAGGCTTTTTACAGCAAATTACTTTTTCTTTAAGATGATTTGCATAGATTAAGGTCTAACCTTTGAGGTTGGGTGTTTTAGAGAAACGACTGTATGTTCCAATAGCAACCTGCCAAGTGAATTTTAATGATTTGAATTGATGTTAATCTTGCAGTTGTATATAGTACATACCTGGTTTATCGTGTGCTCGGTATGTCAGGACTTAGGAAATTGTACTTAGTAACCTATTTATTGATTCAGCTAAGTTAACCGGTTACTAGCAGTTTTATTGTAACAGTATACTCATTTGTACAATTGGTGGCAATGATGCTGTCTTCATAGACTTCTTCTAGACATTGTAAATCGTGTTCAGTGCCACGTTACAGTGGAAGCTGTTGCCACGGATTTTTATTCGTAATAAATTAATGTGCGCTGAAAAGCTTGCTGAAATGTACTTGCAGTTCTTAAGGTATCCACGAGAATATTGGATCATAAACGTCAGCTGCAGTTGGGTCAAGAAATTTAAATAAGATTGGGTATCGCAAGGTGCTATCTTTGTTTATCGTAATTATTTCTTAATTTTAAACTATCCCCACCACATCTGCTTTGCATCTTGATAAACTTGCCATGATTAGAATTTGATATTGAAAATGTTGACATCTTTCTCAAAAAGCTGCGCTATGTTTTCGATTATTACCCAGAACAGAAGATCTATATTTTCTAAAACTTTAAAAAACTTACTTTGCAACGAATATGCAGTGCTTATGATAGATTTGGTACAACCAGTGGTGGCTCGCTTTAACATTTTCTGTCAATTGTTCTTGCATGCCTCCCATTTGAGTAATTTTGTATCGATTGTCTGCAATAATGCTATTGGACTTTTACTAGATGATGAGTTGTACTACATTTTTCATAAAGCAGTTGATGAATATTATAAACCTCGATATCCATCATGATTTTTGCTGTCTTTTATCAAAGCTATTAATAAAACGCTAATATTTCAAAAAAAGTGAATGTCCACAGATGAATGATATGATGCATTAAATACTTTAGTAAGAATATTTCCTGAAGACTGATCGTGAACGAATGATGGCGAAATAGTTCTGTTTTTGTTGATGTCTATCCACATTCGCATCACGTGCGATTTTATTTGACATGCAGCATGTGTGATCAATGTCTCACTCACTTAAATTCTCTGTAAGTGTGCAAAACTTCTCTTTCTACTGATTGGAAAAAGTCCTAACACTCCCTATTATTTACAAAAGTGATACG